TAAATACCGTATAGAAAATAAAACAAAGTGACAAATAGAAAACAATTATGCTTTGTTTTAACTGACCTAGAGTCTTGATGGAGCAATGAGTCCCCAAGATTGCACGCACACACACACAGACACACCAAAGACAACAATGGCCATATCGCCTTAACAGCCAGATTTGTGGCTGGCTGTCGCCTGATAATGCTGGCTGTAATTACAGGCAAAACCTTGTACTCGAATTGTGAATGTTGTGGGTTTATTCTACAGCACACCTGTTCTAGTAACGAATTGGCAATTTTTGTTTACGTGACAAACCTTACTAATTGGAGGTGGCGGGTTTAACGACACATTTATATTTACGAGATCTAACCCAAAAACCTGTTATGAACTATTATTGTACTTTGTAAATGGTTGGTAGTTGATTAAATATGCTATTTGTATTCATATCTATTTGTATTCATATCTCATACTTGAAGGACACTTGTGTTGCGCCCGAAACGTGATTTAATTTATTTAAAATTTTTACCTACGTGACTTTACCGAAAAACCAAAGAGTATGAATCCTTGCAGTCACGAAAACTTCAAATCGAGAATATCTATAAAGTTGCACGTCGGAGCCGTCGTCGGAAATGTAGCCCTCTATTATATCATTGTTTCTCTAGGGAAATCGGTCTCGACTTGCATCGTTTCGACTTACCTATTTTTTGGAACATAACCTGACATAGGACCGAGGACTGCCAGTATATATATATTTGATGTGCTAGATTCAACAGGGTGGTTATTGTAAAATGCTTGAGGTGGAACCCAGACTGAAACTGCCTTTTAAAGGAACGTTTAGTGTAGAATAATGTACACTTCTCCCCAGCACACGAAGCTTGGTTAATAATTCAAAGTAGAAAATTTGTCTTATTTTTTTAAATAGGAGGAACAACTTTTGCAGTGTCCAAGCAGCTGGAAATGACTTGAGATTTCCATTGAAATTAGTCAATATTTAACAAAACGATTGTTTTATATCTTCCAAAGGTTGTCAAACACAGGTTGCTTATTCAGGCACATGATCTGCTTGGCCTCGTGACCTGGTCTTGAAATGAGTTGTGACATTTGAAGCATGTTGCAATATGATTGGGTGTAACAATATAGTAGATGTGTTTAACTTTTTTGTCTCAATATTCCAATTGTGCAATTAACCTCATCCCATTCGTTTAGTTCCATTGGAAACTCTCACAGAGCACCCCCCATGTGAGAGAATAGCCTCTGGTAGCTGCCCTGCTATAAAGGCGTTTATCATTTTTATGCTTGTTTACCCATGAAAACCTCAATTAGTTTCATGACTTCTTTTTCAGGAGGGTCCTGCCAAGGTTTTTCCATGGGGGGCAATTCTTTCTGTGTATATCCTTATAGAATCATTTTCAGATACATCTTGGAACTTGGCAGATGTGGACCCTGACGTGAGCACACAATGACCTCTTATAAATGATATCAGGGGATATTTAACGACCACTGGTGAAGCAGACCGCTTATGGATACGGTTATCACACCTGCAGTAATAATCATGGTGACCACGAGATGCGGAGCATGAACCTCTGCAACTAGCAGGGAACGTGCTACAACTGGGCCATGTTGGTTGATTGATAATCAAACTGAAATTCTTTTAGTCTTGACAGCTGGCAATATACCAGATAAAAACAAAATGTTATAAGGGAAACAAATACCAATGAATAACAATTGAATGATTACCAATCTATATCATTACAATACCCACCCCCTCTTTGCCTCGAATCACTGCACCAGATTGAATTAAATGATGACGTCACCCTGATGCTGCTGCTCTATTTAAGACCGGGAGCAACAGGAGAGCTTCGCCATTCTTGCCCGATGAAGCGGATTGTAATTACCAGCGAAACGTCGTACTACTCAAATTTTAAAATGCTGTTGATTCTCTCTTCAACACACCGGTGGGCTAAAGAAGTGAATTATTTTGTCCTTTCAAAAACGTGACACATTTTTTACTGTTTGGCCATGTCGGGTGGTGGAGGGTTACGACACATTTATAAATAACGCGTGCCTGACTCAAAAACCTATATTATGAAAAACAAAATGTTGTGGTTTTTTGCATCTCTTTTTTAATCTGAGCTGATGCTCGCATCTCACTACCTTTGAGAAACTCGTTTTATCACATGTATTCCAATGTATGCTATTAGTGGTACTGGCTCTGTACTCTGACATAGTATTATCCCCCAGAGTTAGTAGGCTGCCTCTATTGCAAAATTAATTTTTTCATGAGAATTCAAATGTTGCAAATAGTGCAATTTTTCTACAGTAAAAGCCCAGCTAGCCAGAATAGTTGTGGGGGGGGGGGGGCTCATCAAGATAGCTGAATAGACCAGTTTGCCACAATTTAAATTACAATCAACGTAAAAACAACAGCAACCCCCTGTAATGTACATCATATGATATATTTGTGTTGTGTATGTATGTGTTAGTGCACAAACCAAATATCATCTTATAAAAAAAATACAGCATGTGTGTACTGTGCACTGTGCTGTATGGAATATTAGATAATTGGAAGAATAGGGCCTGCTGATAATAGATTTCATGGACCACACAGCTGCTGCGGATAATAGCAGTCGTGTATGATAGGGCCACCATAAGTGCTCTTTATATTTAAATTTTTTTACTTGTTTTTTTTTACGATGTGTTTGTTCACATCGTCTGAGCAGATCACATTTCCTTACCTAGATCCCTCCTGCTAATTCAAGTGAGCTTTGCAGGCTTAGTTGTGTAGTTTAGATGACTAGCAGGGTGTACGCTTTGACTATTAAAATTTCTGCTGTATTGCTTAAAGATCTGAATGATTTTAGTGGCTCAACAATATACAATAGTTTTGAAAAACACAAGTAATATAATTTCAGTGTTTAATATATTTGCTTTCAAAAACACTTGGAATACAACAAAGGTGCACCGTGTTTTTAATCTATCGTGTTTTGGGATTAACATTATTCTATGTTTTGATTTAAAGCTTTCGTGACTGTAGGGATTCATATTCTTGGTTCTGTCGGTAAAGTCACGTAGAAGGGAAATAATAAAATAAAAAAATATAAAAAAAATTCTCACGACATTTCGACTGCAACACAAGCAATCGTTATCAGGTGTTTTAATTTTTTTATTATTTTCCTTCTACGTGACTTTACCGAAAGAACCAAGAATATTATTCTATGTATCAGAGTGGGTGGTCAAGTGCTGCCTCCTATTGTGTCGACAAGAGGTCACTTGGAAGTAATCTTTTGCTATACAAGAGTTCTGAATGGATTTTGCTTCTCTTGAAACAACACCTATTGCACAATTCAAATATAATTGGGGAAAGGACAACAAAAATAAGTGATATTTTTTTTGTTTGGATATTTCATTTGTATTGTTTTAGCTTATACAGATTAATCCCAATTTGTCTAAGTGTTACATTGTTTGCAGGAAATTTGTATAAACCATAATAGATTAGTATGTACAACATTCAATTGCATATACTGAATTAATTAGTACATTTTAATTACATGTCTAATAGCCACAACAATACTGAGCATCCTCTTCATACTGCTAATTTCTAATTTCTTCATGATTCCTGTTTTTTATTATCACCTTTTTATTGCTCCAGAACCTAGACCCCCTTTTTGGATATTTTTACACACACTCTCTGGAAAACAAGACATATTATGCCATACTAGTTTAGTGGCTATCCTGCTATTTATTTAAAATATGATGTCTGCATAACCTATTCATACCGCCAATGGAAATAAATCTCATTTGAATAGAGCTATACTAAATCTTGACTTAAAGTTTTCGTGACCGCATTATGATGACCAGTTTCACACACGACCGCTTGTGTTGCGATGGAAACGTCGTAGTTTTATATATATATTTTTTTAACCTATCTACGTGACTTTACCGAAAGACCCAAAGAATAGAGCTATACTGTTCTCCCAAGCTTTCAGAGCAGGTGTGTTGTACTTTGGAGCAGATGTGCATGTGAAGCTGCAACCCGGTACAATTTTTAATTTTTTTTCTAAATACTCCCTATTAGGAGGCATGCTTTTGGGTTATGCCATTATAATTGGATATGCCTTTATGAAAACGGTGGTAATGTCAGACTCCACTTTATCGGGTGGTGGACTTTTGTCATTTGACAGCTACTAAGGAAGATGATCCTTTTTCTACACTAGATCATGTGGCTTACACATGAATGGTAAGCCGTGACAAAGCATTTATTGTAAATTATACCAGTATGGATTCGCCAAGGTTCTATACCCCGTAGTCTAATGATACCATTGTTCTGTTGTCACCTGCCTAAACTATACTTTGGTAATCGGAGGCCAAACCCTTATGTAAAATGGGTACCGCTGAAATGGTAGAACAAGGTGGGGGCATTGAAGCTGAGGTTTCATGGGATGAAAAGTATTGTCTTGGAAGTATCTTTGGAAGATTGTGGCTCAATGTGACTGTTTTGTGGTGATACGTGCGTCTCTCATCAACAAGGACCTGGGTTAGATTCCTGACTCGGAGTTAAAGTTTGTATCTTCTTGTCCTTTCCTGCACGGGTCGTCTCCTTTGAGTTCTCTGGTTTCCTCCGATAGCTTAAAACATCAAATGTATACTCTTTGGTTCTTTCGGTAAAATCACGTAGGCGCAACACAAGCGTCCATCATCAGGTGGAAAAGCTTGACTTTACCGAAAGAACCAAAGAGTATGGATTCCTGCAGTCACAAAAGCTTTAAATCAAGATCATTTTTTCTTTTTTTTCAAGATCATTTTTTTTTCAAGACATCAAATGTAATCGATGTTGGCCAGACATCCCAATGCAGACGCTCCTGCATAAAAAGTGTTTTCACTCTGTGTGGCTTTCCTGGGTAAATATTTAATTATTGTTAAAGTTATAACCTCTTCGCTTTCGTGTTGAGAAACGTATTCTTATTTTCAGAATCGTGAATATTAATTTTGAATTTGTTTTTATTTCTTTCCACCAGGCGGAGGCAGTAATGAGTGGACAAACCCTGGTGATTCCCATTGTGCTCTGGGGCAGACAGGCACCTACGCACTGCATCTCTACCCTTCTGCTTACTGAAGACCACAAGACATTGGTCACAGGTTGCTATGATGGTCAGGTCTGCCTCTGGGATGTTACCCCAGACCTCCAGGTACGTCTTTCAATCACTTGATAATGTAGTATGTCATGGGACCTCCTTTGCCAGTACCAAAATATGAGAATACGTTTTCCCCTTTTTTTTTCTGGCAACAAAACAGGTGTTAAGATGTTAAAACAATAAACTGAAACCGTATACAAGGAATCATGTCTGCATTAACCACAATACTTGTGGTCATTACTCTGATAGTGCATTGTCTTTGTGCTGTACGCCTTTTGGCGTCCTCTGGTCTAACACCTTTGGAGACTAGACTCCAAAGAAAGCTGTCTCTGGTGTGGACCAATCAGTTTCAAAGCCAATGCATATATTATCTGAGTTTTTTTTTTTGCATTCTGACCACAAGTGTTGTGGTTAATGCAGACATGATTCCTTGTATAAGGTTTCAGTTTGGTGTTTTAACATCTTGACACCTGTTTTGTTGCCAGAAAAAAGGTGAAAACCTATTCTCAATGTAGTATGTATGTCAGCACTTAAGCTAATTCATTTGCAGGTATCAGTTTAATAATATGTATTTCAACATTTCCATAATACAGGGTTTTTTTTGGAGTTAGATCGCATAAATATATTAATGTGTCATTTAACCCAGCACCACCCGACACATCCAATTATATGGTTTGTCACGTAAACAGAGCATTTAATTCGTTACTAGTACAGCACACCAGTGTGTTGAGCAAAGCCGCAACATTTACAATCTGAGAACGACGTTTCACCAGTAATTACAACCATTATATATACGGAGTGGTAGCTCTTGTAATCTCTCATTTACTTGATACAGCTGTCGTGGCTGTGACGGTTCCACCTGAAGACGGGAGCTTGTGTTGCCTCCGAAACGTCGTGATTTTTATTTTATTTTACTTTTATTAATTTTACATTTTTTACCTACGTGACTTTACCGAAAAAACCTAAGAATATGAATCCTTGTAGTCACGAAAGCTTCAAATCTAGAATTACAACTAGCTTCATCAGGCGAGGAAGCTAGTTGTTTCGTTCCCATAAATAGATGGGTAGATGTGATGGCATCACTTGTGAGCACTTCTTGAGCAATGTGGGGGGAGGGATTAATTAAGGCATATAAATGGCAATGGGATATCCATTACCGGTTGGGTTATTTATATGGTACTCTTAGGTTTTTTCGGTAAAGTCATGTAGGTAAAAAAATATATATATATTTTTAGGTTTTTTCGGTAAAGTCACGTAGGTAAAAAAAATGTATATTTTTTCACGAAAGCTTCAAATCTAGAATTATTTATATGGTAATCAACATACATTATGCATGCACATTATGCAAGCCCATTGTTCTTGTATCTCCTGTCGATTGTGTGTACTTAAAATATCCGTACCAATGGTAATCCCTATTGAAGTATAGGGCATGCATTTAGACAATGCATTATTTGATGATTCGCTTCCAAGCAGCACTAAGTCTGTAGATATCCGAACGATTCAAAGTATTTTTAATTCTCGGAATTTCAATAGATTCTCTGATTATCCCTGGCCAGTAGCAACTAGTTTTGCACAGAACTTCAACACTATCCAAATCAATTGAGTGTCCTTGTTGGCACGCATGTTTTGCCACTACTGACAGTTGTATTTGGGAGTATTTAATATTTATTTGGTGTTCTCTTAGTCTCGTGCTGATCATTCGTCCTGTTTGCCCAACATAGCATTTGCCACAAGTGCAATTCATTTTCTGTTTATAGCTTTCGTAATACATCTTTAGTACCAGTTATTTCTATATTTTATGTACCGTGCCAAATCTGACTCGGATGTTTTGTTTTTCCAAACATCTGGATAGTTTTATCACCCCAACCTTGTACGGTATTTTAATAGTTATAGTTACTTGCTCAGTTTCAACCCTCGTGTTATTTGATTTGGTTTTGGCATTCAATGCCCTGTTGATTTGTGCATCATAAGCATTAAATTGGAGCGCTTCTTTAACAGGTTTAATTTCACTTCTCAGACTATCACCATCTGACACTTTCTTAGCCCGTTGTATGAGCATCTTGATGAGAGAGAATTTCTGTGCATTCCCATATAAGTGGGGATTTAAATTTAAAGGAATGTAATTACTACGCAGTCAATGTATAACCCATGTCTTGTATGTGAGCATTTTACATATGACATTTAAATTGAAGCAAAATATATATTTGAGGTAACACTATTTTATATTTAGGACCTATGATAATGTAAATATCAGCCTGAAAGACTAAATGTGGATTCATGCTTTTACCTTTAGTTTTGGACATTAATTCATATTTTACTTATTAGATTTATTTGAAGAAAATTAGTGAGATAAGGTTCCCTAACCCTAAGATCTAAATGCCCTCCCCCTGAAAAAACCTGATATCTAGGTTAAAAAAAAATGTTCTGGTAATATGAAACAGGTCCCTGCGGGGTGGGCTGGTAGGAACGAATAACCAAAGAATATAAACTTAATGTATTATTACACTTGTTTAGCCAGGAAAGCCTCACTGAGTCTAAAGGTTTTTGTAGGGTCCTGCCAAGTGTTTGCAGTAGGGGGCGATGTTGCTACACCTAATCGGATGATACGAAGGGAGAGTTTGAGGCCTAGTTCTAGGCTTTAGGCCTAGCTGTAGGCTTTAGGCCGCTGTGAGTTAATTTTTAATTTAAATGTTTTAATTATTAATGTAAAAGCTTTAAATTTAAATGTTTCTATTTAAAAACATCAGGGAATGTAACATTGTTAAACATTAACTCCCTTTCACACACGCGGGGGTACGATACGAAGGGAGAGTTTGAGGCCTAGTTCTAGGCTTTAGGCCTAGCTGTAGACTTTAGGCCGCTGTGAGTTAATTTTTAATTTAAATGTTTTAAAAAACTATCTCAGGGAATTATAATTTTTAATTTAAATATTTTAATTAAAAACTATCTCAGGGAATTATAAGGGAATGTTACACTTGTTTAGCCAGGAAAGCCTCACTGAGTCTAAAGGTTTTTGTAGGGTCCTGCCAAGTGTTTGCAGTAGGGGGCGATGTTGCTACACCTAATCGGATGATACGAAGGGAGAGTTTGAGGCCTAGTTCTAGGCTTTAGGCCTAGCTGTAGGCTTTAGGCCGCTGTGAGTTAATTTTTAATTTAAATGTTTTAATTATTAATGTAAAAGCTTTAAATTTAAATGTTTCTATTTAAAAACATCAGGGAATGTAACATTGTTAAACATTAACTCCCTTTCACACACGCGGGGGTACGATACGAAGGGAGAGTTTGAGGCCTAGTTCTAGGCTTTAGGCCTAGCTGTAGACTTTAGGCCGCTGTGAGTTAATTTTTAATTTAAATGTTTTAAAAAACTATCTCAGGGAATTATAATTTTTAATTTAAATATTTTAATTAAAAACTATCTCAGGGAATTATAAGGGAATGTTACACTTGTTTAGCCAGGAAAGCCTCACTGAGTCTAAAGGTTTTTGTAGGGTCCTGCCAAGTGTTTGCAGTAGGGGACGATGTTGCTACACCTAATCGGACATCGGACGGACGGACGGACGATATAATCTATTGTAGGCTGGTTCACTTCGTTCCTACCAGTATAATTTTGTTTTACTAGTATTTAAGGATAAGTGAGTACATTTTGTCACCAGAGATGGGGGAATGCGTGGTTCCCGGAAATGTTTGCATCGGCTGAGTGGTCTGCAGGCCAAAAAAGTTTGAGTAAAACTGTCCTAGATGGATGCTGTACTATTTCTGTCTGCTACAGCAGTGGTTTAACGATTTCAACATGATCTATATATTTACTTTATTGATCTGGTTAAGGCTTGGGATATAGTTATGAGGCCAGAGTTTTTTTATTGTTCTCCATGCTTTAGAGGTCCCTGACTTTCATATAATTATTAAGCACTCTTATGATGATGGACAGACGAGTTCAAACTGCATGGCCATGCCTTGGAGCCGTTTTTTGTTCATCATGGGGTGCAACAGAGATGTCCTATTTAAATATTTTTTTTGCTGTGAAGTTTGCGAATCCTTTGGCTTTAACAATTGAATATACATCTGGTAGAGATACAATATCAGTGTAATTCCTCCATCTCCTACCTGCCTACCAGGTAGGGTGCCCTCTAGCCAGTAGGGCATTGAGGCAGGAGGAGTGGGGTCCATGGGCATGAAGAAAGCTTCCACTGAGCACTGAGTGCTAGCAAGCACTGGTCTACATCAGGGTACCACTCTCACACAAACACTATGGTAAAAATAGAACTCAATCTTACCTCATTTATCCTTTTCTCTCTGCATCTCCATTTATCTCTGCATTTCCCTTTTATCCGTCTCCTTTTGTCTCTGTATCTCCGTTATTTTCTTTAGCTTTGAGAGAGATATGTGGAGCTCAGCATTAAATATTGCACATTAGCAATATATTTCAAATACGTTAATCCCCAGCTAAACGTAAGAGATGCAATCCTGGAAAAATGCTACTTCACTGAAAATTACTTAAAACGATCTCTAATTTCCCGTATAAATAATGTCAAAATCAGGGGTTGCATTCCTAGCTGACATTTCTGGAAAAATGTTTTGTTACTAAATGTCATCAAGCGTACAAAAATGCATACGTAAAAAGCTGACGTACATTTTCACTTATAATAAGTAGAAATAATTGGATTAAACTTACCAGAGATGGTTTAAAAGCTTTCTGATCAAGGCCTCTCGGGGTTTAGCAGTGGTGGAGTTCTGCAAACAAAGGGGCAGGATCAACTGGTGTCTCTTCATCTGACAATGAAGCTGGAGCTTCAGGAATGTTCACCAGAGGAACCCGGCTTGCTTCTGGGATTTTCTCCGAACCTTCTGGCTTGATAGCAGAGCATTTCAAAAATCTGCCTAAAGACACCTGGACATAATTTTTCTTATTCTTGGTTCTTTCGGTAAAGTCACGTAGAAGGGAAACAATAAAATAATAAAAATATATAAAACAATATTGTTTTATATATTTTTTTTTATTGTTTCCCTTCTACGTGACTTTACCGAAAGAACCAAGAATATGAATCCCTGCAGTCACGAAAGCTTTAAATCAAGATCTTTTTTTCTTCTTCTGCTGGTACAGCTCCTTGTAGCAGTAAATGGCAGGTATTTTTTTATGCCCTCTTCCTCTGCTCGTTGTTTTTCCAGCTGCATCGGATTCTCATTAGACAGGTCCTCACCATGGGACTCGAGCAACTCCACCACATTCGACTCCTCCACATTGTCAGTCCGCTTATTTGGAATGTAGTACTGTTTGTGAAATAACACATAATGGCAACAACTTAGAGCTGGTCATTCATATAGAGCAAATCAAAGAGCTCTCGTATAGCCTACAATTTATTTAGAACATTTATGTCACTAATATTTAAATTTAAACTAAGTTTAAACTGGTTTTTATGAAGTGTGTAACTGCAACTGAACCTTGTGTGACCATTTTGAACTGATGGAACTGTCACCAGTTATAATGGTTGTTGGGGTAACCTAAACTATACCCGGAAATCAGTCGGTTCGACTTTCTACTTCTGTGACTCTCACACACACGTGCGGTTCGCCCCTACAAATAGCCATCAACACCGAGAGCGGTACTCAGAAAATAATTTCAACGGCGACAGAGAAAGTCGACCTTTTGTATGACCCGGCTAGCTCTGACCTGTCGGGTGTACAATGACCCAAGTGAAGCAGCAGTGGAGACCATAGTGGTGACGAGATGGGGGGGGGGGGGGGGGGGGCGTGGGTTCAATCCCGGCCCTGGCGCCTGCATATTTGGAGTTTGCATGTTCTCCCCATGGTCACGTGGGTTTTTCTCCAGGTCCTCTGGTTTTTCCGTCCCCCTTTAGAATCATGCGTTTCGAGTATTTGGCTGCGATACACTTCCACATGATAAGCCACTTCGTTGAGTTATCATTTATTGCCAGGTCGCTTCTGAAAAAGAGCCATATAGCTCAATGGGCCTTACCTCGTTAAATAAAAAAGAGTTTAGTTGAGTAAGTCCCCAGGTTGTGGAAGATCTGACTCACGGAAATTTTCCCATAAATCATGTTAAAAAAAAATTGGTAAATTTTTGTGTTATTTATGTAAGCGCAAATAGCGCAGCGCGGCGAGGTTGCGGATGAATACCGCGGCGAGAGACGTAAGGCAGGCCGCCTTACGCCTCGCTCCACCAAAACGCCGCCATCACCTAGCCCAAGCTTCACTAGGATTAAGGTAATAAGAATTGTTTTATAGCGTCACGTAATTCTCTTCATTTTGTAGCATTATGTAATTGTTTTCTATGCTTAGAACTATATATTTTTCCCATGGTTCTGTTGCTAGTTTTCTAGCCTAATGCACGGTAAACGAACATTTTGAAGTAAAATTGGAATCATTGAGAGTATTCCATATGAATAAAGCGCTCTACCTAGCATTTACCTGTTATAAACATTTTTCAAGTGTAGTACCCCAGTAATTACCCTGTAATCGGGTAATTATGTATATTGGGTAACGGTAAAAGGTAGGGTAAAGGTAGGCTCGTTGTTTTTACCTTGCTGAGGCCTACTGGGAGCACAGCAGCTCCCACAACCTCGTCTCCCACCGCTGCCTTGTAGTGGTATAATGACCCTCTGTGCGCTGGTTCGATTAGCGCTCACTTCTCCAGCAACGCATCTTGAGTGCTAATTAAGGTCTACCTGTACTGGTCTGTGTTAAAGGATTTGTTGTACTTGTTAGAATATAAATCATGCAAAATCTTCCCTGCTGAAAAATTCAAACCAGCACATCTCGGCTGTTCTGATGCAAAACAAAAAATAAAAATTTCTACCACATTTCCCAGCAGTTCCGCATTAGCCCCACCTGATTCGGCGCATCGTGATTTGCAGACCACGATGCATTTTAAATCTGCCGCATTTCACCGAGCTTTCTGCAAACCCATTTATTTATTGATGAAAGTACTCTGTATTGCAAAGAGGCCCCATGGCTTCGCAATGCGAACCCTGTAAAATGTCAAAATAGCGGAGCTGCATATAGAATCTCGCGGAGCTGCAGAGAGAAATGTGAAATGTCTGGGATTAAAAATTATTCTCAGACATTACACTTCCATTGGAGCTTCAGGAAACTGAGGTAAGATTTATATTTTTGATTTGCTATTTTTTTTCCTTTTGCATCAGCATAGCTGTGTGCTGATGTGATTTGTTTCAGAAGAGAATAATTTAGCATTTTTTAGACATGGAAAAAAAGCAAATTTCAGGATCAACTGTCTCGCTGATTTGGGGGGAACTTCTGGTAAGTCTCGAGTTGTGAGAATTTGCGGATCATTGGAGTGCGGATATTAGAAATCTTGTATGTGTTTTTGTGTTTTATAAACAAAAAAATACATCGGTAATATATTGGTCTCATAAAGTGGCAATGCATTTGTTGTTTACGTTGTTTTTGTCCAACCTACAGATCAGTCCACGAGCCTTGCTGTTTGGTCATTCTTCAGCCATCACTTGTCTCAGCAGGGCGAGTGATGGGCCTGAAGAGGTCTACATCGTCAGTGCATCTGAAAACGGGTCAGTAGCAGTCATGCCAATCTTATCCACAGCACTTGAACATAAACACATTCCTGCAGAGGGAGCTGGTAGGAACGTTGGGTTGCTCGGTCAATGGCCAGGGTCAACGGCGGCGTGGTGTATTCCGCAAATATGTCCGACTGTGAGAGCGGGCTCAAGGCGGCGTGAGTAGGTTAAACGTTGAGTTTTATAAGGGCACCACGGGGTGACCAGCCCCTCCCCACCCAGCCCCACCCCTCCCACCCCCCACCCAGCCCCACCCTCCCCATCCTCCCCACCCTCCCCACCTAGCCCCTCCCCTACCCTCCCCTCCCCACCCAGCCCCACCCTCCCCACCCAGCCCCTCCCTGCACAACGGACAGATGGACACAATAATCCCCTGTGGGCTGGTGTAACCAAGAGGTTCCTACCAGTATTACTTGTGTATCACAGCCGGTCATAAACCTTAATATCTATGAATAATATGTAAACAGTTCCTCTCAATTATCCCTTGGCAGATTATCCAGGTAGGGGATTAACCGCACTTATCCGCATCCTTTAACGCACACCCTGGTTCTAGTCACTGCCCCTCACTCGTTGCTGGTCAGTGAGTTGGTGCCTCCATCGGCAAGTAAACCTATGAGTTTGAGAAACATTTAAAACTGATGACGCATGCTACGTCTTTCATTTGGCTTCCATTCTGCGGAGGTAAATAAACCTGTTTTGCCGTCTTAATTTACATGGATTTTGGGCTATCCGTGTGTTTATTTTATCCGAACCACTCGTATGCAATATTACCGGCTTGCCTGTAGTGAATGGAAGCCCAATTAATGTGCTAATGGTGTGAGGAGGAACGGTTTAAATTTATATTTTTAACTTTTGTATTGAAAAAATAAGGTTGCAGATGATCCGCCAGTGAAATGATTGACCCACAATGGTCGGCTATTTAATCAAACAATTGAATAGTAATAGTGATTGTGTTGAAAGTTGTATATATGATTGCATGCTTAGTGGGAGACTGGTGTAGTAGCTGCAATTGGTACAACTGATCATATTTGTCAGTAGGTATTGTCCATAAAAAATGCATTTGCACTTAAAAAAAAATATGAACAAGCATGCACACATCAACACATGATCAGCTATTTTTAAATCCTTTATATTAAGTTCGCTTGCTTGCTTGCGTGCTTGCGTGCTTGATTGCTTACGACCGTGCAAATCTTTCGGTCGTTTTTTAACCCACTTTCCGTGATCCAATCGAGCTGACATTTTGCACACAGACTCGTTGTGCGAGACAATTAATGTTCGTGAAAATTGTTTTCCAAAATTTTACACTGTTTAGGGAAAACTAATTAAATATTTAATTACCAATTGCTTAATACTGGCAGACAATCATCTGACCCATAGGTGGCAGCCATCTCAAGCCAGAGGACGAGAGGACTCTAGCCGCCACGCATATAAAGGATTTAGAGTGAAAAACTTTGTTTTTACGGGTTATACTTATTGTTAACTCATTAGGTGGGTTTGAAAAGCTGGTTGGAATTTCCCACGTGGTAGACAATTGATGTGGAGCAGTTGTTACTCTAAAGCCTGCCCTCCACATGCCGCCCTTAGCTGTGTAGAATGGCTAACATATTCACAATTATTAACTTGTTTCTTTCAGAGAAATGTGTCTAAGTGATGTAAGTGATGGACGTTGCCTTGAGTTCACGAAGCTTGCCTGCTCTCACATAGCAGTCCACGTGAGTATCACTCGTCTTGGAAATTGCACACTGACCAAAGAAGTTGGTTGTGACACCTTAATTTTTTTTACCTTTTGAATTTTTAAAATAATATATCTTGATGGAAATGTAATTGTGATATGTACAACACATTTGTATTCATTGCTTATTGTTAGAAATTTTTTTTTCTGAATATTTCATGATATTTATATATGAACACTTACCCGTTAATGGAGTTACATACAGCATGAGACACAATACCTTGTAATCCATAGAGGTAACATGAGCATCATTTGGGCTCTCGTAGGTTTTAAATGGACTTGCACAGTGTGGTGTTGTTGTGGTACATAAGAGCCCTTGATGTAACTTGTCAAATGACCACAGCCATGAGGACGTGAGCCAGCCCAGTTCACAAACAGGGAAGCTGTGTTCAGCGTGGATTCGCAGAGCAACTTACAGGAGTCACATGACTCAAGTGCCAGATCGCATGACTCGCAGCCAGAAGTCTTCACATAGACATTGGCACCCGAGCCATCCTCGGAACTTGTCCATGATGCTACTGGATAACGTAGACGAGAGATTCACGTTCCTGATTTTATTTTGAAAAATGCCCAAGCCTAGGTTAAGCCTTGTGAAATATTGCTTTGTATATGTATGACCACTTCCCCCTGTGAAGCTGCACAGGAGGACTGGAGCAAGAAACAAGTTGTGTTGGGGCATTCTTAGAAAATCCCAGAATAGTTTGGGCCCAATGTTTTAATGACCGTGGAAACTTAGCATAATATGACTGAATCTTTTCTGTAATTATGTTATCATGTGACCGCCCATACTATCTTGCCATAAACCATTAACATGTTGTGTGCTGTGTGCATATTCTCTGTTTTTTCAGTATTATAAGAGCACAAGCAGACACACACAAATAGGCAGATTGTTGTGTTATGGCCACTATCCAGAAATCCTCGTCATGGATGCCAGTAGTCTGAACATACTCTTCACCCTCGTTTCCAAGATTTCTCCAGACTGGATCAGTGCTATGACAATGGCTTTCTCTTCACAAGCACAAGGTTGGTCAAATATCTCCATATAATTAAAAGGCAAAGTTTTGAAAATGTATGTCTGTCCAAAATGTTTAGCGTACTTCCCGACATGCAACAAACTGGAAATTTGCCATGTGGGTACTTTCCAGACTGTACACCATGCAAAAATTATAAAAATACACTTTCGTTTTTTTTCTTGGGGGGGGGGGGAGCTCAATAATGCAGAAATGTTTTGCACGGCAAGTGAGCTGTGACGTCAAATCTGTCACGTGACCCGCGCACGTGGAAGCGTAACGCATTGTAGCGTAGTGGTTAGCGCGCTGCGCTACGAACCCGGCGACCCGAGTTCGATTCCCGCTCAAGGCCACCACCGGTGACGATTATTTTAACCGCTCCTAGGCCTCCCCTAGGTCGACTCAGCCTCAAACGAGTAACTGGTGTGGTGTGTGAACATCGCGCTGGGGAGACAAAGTGTCGTGAATCCAAGTCCCGGGCTAAGCCGGGTAGTAAAGCTCGTTATGTATAAACTGTCCAGTATTCCCTCGTTATTTGCGAGGGATGCATTCCGGAGATACTCGTGAATAGCAAATTTTGCGTATAATAATATTGGCCAACAAAATCGTACACGCAACATCCGCAGATGCTTCTAAAGCTTCGAGAAGTTTTCTCCCTCACCCCTTTAGCTCATCAACTTTCTGGCATCACATTCTATCCCATCACGTTCTATTAGTTCACTTGATCTCTCATCACTTCAGCTCATCACATTCGTGCATCGCATTCTTGCTCATCACTTTTTCTCTCATCACTTCATCTCTCATCTCTTTATCTCTCATCACTTTCTATCATCACTTTCTTTTATAAAGTTCCACGTGCGATTCGCGGACAGCAAGTTCGTGAATAATGAGGGGAATACTCGATGTAAAAAAGAATGCACACATTTCACCGTTACTTGCTGTATCCCAGTGGCTATGAGCTTTGAACACACATGGTCAACAGCATCATTTGTAGGTATGTGTTTTTGTATATATGTATCTATCTATCTTTGCTTGGAGACATTATCTTACTGTTCTTCCAATTTCATTGAATGAGTTGTCACTAGAACCTTAAACCCAATCGTTCAGATTCTTGGCCTGGGTGCTGCCTACGCACTCTACCATTTCAAATGATGATGCATCTCACAGCCGCATTAAAAAATTTGGTACAACAGATGGGTGTCTAGCATTGGAGAGGGGGCTTCACGCTCTATTTCATGAACGAGTTGTCGGTGATGGTCAGGTTATGATTCATAATTGGTTACTTTTGGGTTAGGTGGTGTGAAAATGTGTCGTGAACCCTCCTTCACCTCACACAGCCAATTAATGAAAGTGTCACGGGAACAAAGTTGCCAAATGTATTACAGCTGCAGCAGAACACTAACCTATATGTTGGAGATGTAATTTAATAATGACAGTGGATTCATATTTGATGGTTTGTAATTGGCAGGTCAGGTAAGTGTCATAAAGTGAATGTTTAGCCATACTCTTTGGTTCTTTCCGTAAAGTCACGTAGGTATAAAATATAATAAATCACATATTTAGCCAATTGTGAAAATAGGATATCCTTAAATATGTTAAAGGTTAATTTAGTTCATTAATATTATGGGGATTAGCACTGAGGAATTAGTGATAAAAACAAATGGTTGGTGTACTAATTGGTTACATTATTTAAATTATTGATTAAGCCTAAATGGCTAAGAGCAATCAACTCTAATTATTCAATTAGACCAAGTGCTGTAACTGTGTCGATGCCTTCCTGGCATCTACTTAAGGGCCTGGATCGTGAAGCGCTTTCACCCGAGATCTGAGCTCCTGTTAACAGCCTGATGAGGCTGGATGTAATCTCCAGCAAACCGTTGTTACCTATGTCAATGTTGTGAGATTATTCTACACACCAGCGGTGATGTGAGCGGTAGTATATTTGACGTGTTTTATTTAAGAGACTTTTTTTTGATCATCTATATATATGTAAAAGGGAAATTTGTGATTATGTGTGTCTGTTCAAAATGTTTAGCGTACTTCCCGACATGCAACAAACTTAAAATTGGCCATATGGGTACATTCCAGACTGTACACCATGCAAAAATTTGAAAATACACTTGTATTTTTGGGGGGGGGGGGGGGGGGGGTGCAGTAATGCCTATATTTTGCACGGCAAGTGAGCTGTGACGTCGCATCTGTCATGTGACCCGCGCATGCGCAGTGGTTCGCGCTACGTTGCGCTACGAACCCGGCGACCCGAGTTCGATTCCCGCTCACGGCCACCACCAGTGGCGATTATTTGAACCTGTCCTGGGCCTCCCCTAGGTCGACTCAGCCTCAAACGAATAACTGGTGTGCTGTGTGAACATCGCCACTGGGGAGACAAAGGCGGCCGGGCGTGGTGAATCCAAGTCCCGGGGGAAGCCGTGTTCAACTGACGTTTTTATTAGTTGGCTGTGTCGGGTGTGGGAGGGTTTTACACATTCTTGCACAGTTTTACACAACAGAAACCAATTATGCATCGTAATGTTGGTCGTGAAAGCCTGCATGTGAAACAGTCAAGTTAGTTGACGACTCGTGAGTGTTGTAACACGAGTGATGAATATCTACCCACATTCCCAGTTTCTGTAGCACTCTACTTCCCCCCCCTCCGTGCCCCCTGCATCTCTCCTCCCCCCCTCTTACCTTATATAATCGCTCGTCACAAACAGCTCTCTTTGCCCACTACAGTAATTTTTGTTCCTTACTTTGGTTGTCCCACCTGATGACGGAGGCTTGTGTTGCTTCCGAAACGTCGTGATTTAATTTAATTTGTTCTATTTTTAATTTTTTGTCTTAATTTTATTTATATTTTTTCACCTGCGTGACTTTACCGAAAGAACCAAAGAGTATGGTTTAAAATAATTCTATTTGCCTATATTTATTTGTCCGCTGTGAATATATTACAGAGGACAAAGTGATCGCTGTGTCCGTTTCCGGAAATCTTAAAGTCTGGAATCTGAAAAACATTTCTAATAAGTTGCAGGTGAGTACAACGGTGAACTTTAAGTATTTTAATTGTTACAATATATTACGTACTTTAATATGTTATGTTAATCGGAATGACGAAGGCTTTTAAATAGTGCATGCACTAAATGATCCAGATATTTTAAACATAATATCTGGATTATGCAAATATCGAAGTTGAAAAACAATCAAGGTTGGTATAGTCCTTATCTGCCATGTGAAGGGTGTGATTTTGTAGGAATGGTTATCGTGATTATATTAACTATACTTTTGCACCATGCACCCCACCAAATGTGGACCTCACCCGTTCTGTCTGTGTTGGATAGTGTTGGACCCCTCACATGCGTGGGCTTTCTACGGGGGCTTTTATTTTCACCAAGATATAAACACTCATTAATTGACCCATAACACCTTAATAATCACGCTGACTCTACTTTGTAATTGACATAATTACAGTTAAATAGACTGTCTACAGATTATATTATCGAATGATATTGCAATTTAAAGGATACAAAAATGTTCTTATTCTTAACTAAAGAACGCTTTCGTGCTTATGTGTACATGAATGTGTTTTCCCAAGATGTTGTTTGTTGTTCCAGATAGGAGAGATATTGCACGAGGAAGAATCAAAGCCAATTCACTGCACCGACTGCCAAGACATCTGTTTCTGCCCCTTCACATGCCGATCGTTGTTGCTGGTCTCCACATCATGTTGGATGGTAACGTTTGTCAACGTTAAACGTTTTATTTTGCAAGTGATGGAATTTCATAACTTTTTTTTCTTCATACATTTCTTGTGTAACAGATCATTGCTGTATGGTAAAACCTCTGGGAAGCTGGATTTAAAGGGGTAAGAGCCTCTCTGGTGATGGGGGTGTCTGGCATACTGCAGTTAATTCGTTTGTTCAGAATTCATCATCATCAGCCATGATCAGTCCTCTCCAAGCGGCTGCCACATCTCAGTCTTGCAGTCGCAATCTCTCCTGCGCGTGAACTACTTTTATCCCTCCAGCTGCTCAGTAGACATCCTCTCATAATTAGAATTGTTCAATTCCTTAGCTGCTGCTTCATCATCATTTAAAAGTTGTCATGTAAAGCAACCATAAACACATGAAAAGACCTATGTTGGTAATTTTTTGAGAAACTCTACTATATACACAATATACATAGAAGTAAAATGTAAAAGCGTAAATATCTTGGGAACAGTAGCCAATCGGTTGGTTTAATTGTCATATTTGAATTCAGCACATCAAAATCCATAATAAAGAGCACATATCATCTCTGAAGCAGACGACATCTAAAAAAATGTCGACCAGTTTTATTGTTCCTCACCTCGGAGCATCATCCCTCGTCCTGGCTATCTCTGCCTCAAGCCCACTTGTCATACTAGTTTAAATTGTGTCAGTAACCTTGAGTACAGTCCACACCTCCCATTAGCACGGTTGGATATGTATGGTGCAAAATAAGTTCACTAGACATTCCCTTATCCATATTTTCCTCGTTCTACCTCTGTAATTTCAAGCATGCATCTCCATGCTTTGCACACCGTTATATTGTTGATATATGAACCATATGTGATAACGGGTAGAACATACTGATTAAAACCATTCTTCTCAATGCACGTAGGCCAAAAATACATTATCAAGTGCCGCTTTACAAAAAGAAAGCATTTCAACCTTCTCTCATCCATCTCTTTGTTTCACCATTTTGATACCAGTCAGCCTTCATCAGGTGAGTGCCAGTTGGGGGACTTGTAGCAGTTTGGGGTGCTTGGGAAGCCTCCCCAACGGGCTTCGCTGCCTCCTTGCTCACTTTGCCATGGGAGCAATCCGCTTGCTAGCCCCGGGGATTACCAGGTGCCATAGGTCGACTGTCTGAGATGACTGGCCGATGCAACACCTGTGCCCCCCCTACTGTGCCAACTTTCTTCTTTAGCCGCCCAGCGCTCCGCACGTTGTTGTGAGCATTGCTCCACTGCCCTCTGTTGTTGTCCAACTGCCCAATAGCCTCCTTCATGAGCCTCATCCACAGAGGCCGATCTTAACATCGCTGGTACTACCATCGGCAAGTCCACTCAGCTCCACATCCTCTTTTACCATATCACTCCATCTCTTGTCTCGCCCGTGCCGCTCCTTTTTAGCCCCCTCTATCGGGCTGAACAAAAGCTGTTTAGGCATGCGGTGGCTGGGCACGCAGGCTACATGACCCACCCAACTCAGCCTTGCCTAACGGAGAAGCTCACCGATGGGACTTTGTCAATATCTTTCAAGGATTTGTGAGCTCAAACAATCCAGCCTGCTTAAACCCAGGATGGATCATAGGCAGGCCAGCCTAAATGTTTCTAACCGAGGAGGATGTTCTATTAGGGGGGTCCAAGGTTTCGCAAGCGTAGAGAAGGGAGGGCATGATGGTGGCCGAGAAGACTTGAAGTTTCGTGTGGAGCAACAGATCAGGTAGCTTCCACACAGCGTTATGCAACCGATGAAAAGATATTGCCACTCGACTGATTCGGAGTGAGACCTCTGCTGTCAAACTGGAGCCGGTCATGAGCACAATGCCCAGGTGTGTGAAACTCTCCACTCTGTCCACAACTGCCCCATCACCAATTGGGAGTTGTGGGGGTGGAGTGTCTGATGGTACAAAATACCCAGGCAGGTGCTTAGTTTTGGTGGGGCTGATGGTAAGGCTGATGGTAAGGCCCAGGTTCAGCAGCAGCGCCTCCAGCAAATCAGTTTTAGGCACCATGGTCCACCACGTCAAAATATGCAGAGAGAATGAAGCAGAACAAAAAAGGAATGGCATTTTTGAGAGCTTGCTATCAGGAGGCTATTCGTCACCCTGAACTCGAGCTTTCTCAGGAATATTCCTCTTCCGAGGTCCTGCCAGTTTCAGCGTGACCACCTCATGAACCTTACCTGTGGAGGCAAGGCGAGAGACGGGTCTTTAGTTAGCAGGACAGTTCAGGTCAAGAGAAGGTTACTTACTTTTTTTTAAATGTTTAGCTCGTTTAAAGGTTTTAAGGGTTTTGAATATTTATCTTGTATAAAATGGTATTTTGTTACTTCAACATTTAATAATTTGAATTGTCAAACATTGGCTCAAGCTTCACTATAATTTACGCATTGCAAACTTTGTTATTATTTTGACTTGTTTTACAGTAGATTGGATAGTAATGCGGTTTTTCGGATATGAATTATCATGTGGTGTAATGTAAAAACTAAATTTGAAGCATCAGTCTCGTATTTCAGTCATGAAGTTTACGCTATTGGGGAGTCCTACAGTAAAACCTCTTCATTTGCGACTTTTTCTTTAGCGAAATTGGATTAATCTTCTTGATTCTTTCGGTAAAGTCACGTAGAAGGGAAGTAATAAAATAATAAATATAAAACATAATAAAATTATTCTCACGACGTTTCGGCCACAAGGCAAGTAGCCGTCTTCAGGTGAAAACCAGGTCTGTCGAGGCGACAGCGTCTGAATGAAACAGCACACGCGCTTGGAGCATGTATATAAGCTGGGTTGGAAGGGGGGAAGAAAGGGGGAGCCTTGAAAAAAGAATATGCATATCAAGAGGAATTTAGCTTATATACATGCTCCAAGCGCGTGTGCTGTTTCATTCAGACGCTGTCGCCTCGACAGACCTGGTTTTCACCTGAGGACGGCTACTTGCGTTGTGGCCAAAACGTCGTGAGAATAATTTTATTTTGTTTTATTTTTATTATATTATTACTTCCCTTCTACGTGACTTTACCGAAAGAACCAAGAAGATGAATCCCTGCAGTCACTAAAGCTTTAAATCGAAATTCGATTCTTTGCGATTTTATATTTGTGTACCAGTTTAACTTTCGTGCCTTATTCCTTCAGCTATTCACGATTTTGGCAACCTCATCATGGGGGGAGGGGTGTTTTTGCAGCACAGGATATAAGTGTCTTTTTAAATTTCAATCATGAGGTCTAAGCGTCAAGTGAGTGGAGGAAATGAGAGCAAGAGTAAAAGGCAGGAAAAAGTTCAAAGTTTAGTTCAAAAAGTCAAGTTGTTGCATAGACTTGTTCGTGGTGATAGTGCATCTGCTGACCATCATCATCACATCCCCATCATCAAAAGTAATTAAAAGTGCCAAATTTAAAGTATAATTTATTGATGCATTTTATTTACTCTATTTTGTTGTATTATTTGTTTATCTATTTTTATTGTACAATTTTATTAAATATATGGATGTTATTTATGCGTACAGTACAGGATTAGTGTATGTTCAGTCAGATATGGAAACCTAATTCCCTTTTTCCCATATAAACACGGCATCTTCAGTTGCGAATTCTACTTTTGCGCAGATGTTCAAGAGCCTAACGCTCCCGAAAGCCGAGGCCTTACCTTATTAGCGAAACCATATTCTCAATGATATTTCAATGAAGCTTTCTTCCCGAGGTGGTACATGGTCAGAGTTCTAAATACATTTTTTTTTGCCAGGTGTTTGACGCAGGTGATTTCTCAGTCCTTTGCTCGGTGTGCTCCGAAAAAGGAGAGCGGTGGTCAGGAGGAAAGTTTTTAACTGCAGATAGTGTAATCATCTGGACAGAGGAAGGAGCAGCATCTGTCTACCGCCTGCCACCCAGGTGAGCTCCCAACAGCTTTGCATGCACCATGTGCCATATTGCCTTCCACGCCTAACACTGGGCATACATTAATTTGCAAAACTATTTGAGTTTTTAGTTACGTAACTTAAAAACTCCGAAAAACAATGTCTCTGCTTCTGTGTCTCTGTTTCCATGCCTTTGTTTTGCTTGATTTTCGGCATGCGTTCAAGGCATGTGCCATCCATGGTAAATGCTTCATTGCATATTTTTTTAGGAGTTTGTATTGCAGCGTTTCACAGACTTTTAAGATCTCCAAACAGTACACCCACATCAACACATATTTTTTGCCATTTCACTGTAATGTAATAGTTATGAAGTGTAATTTATTGAATACAGTAGTTACTGTTTTTATTTGGTCAAAGATAGAGAATATGTGTGTGCGTATCTACAGTAGGCCAGTACTGTACATTTGTATATGTGCCTTTGTCTTTAAGTCAAGTAACTTTCGAAAGTAGCTTACCGAGTAGTAACTTTTAAAAGTAACCTAAGTAATTTAGAACATTTTCACAACTAATATAAAGTGACATTTCAGCAGCAAACATTACTTTTTTGGTACGTAATTTTTAATTTTTCAAAGTTACTATGTTTTTTTACGTAACTTTCCCCACATTGCTTGGGGGTCAAGCCAGTTGCACTTACACATGGGCACAACGTGTTGCTTGTATCTCGTAACTGGGATACTCTTGACGCTGTTGCCAGAAGTAAGGAAACCCATGCACTGCTCATGGGATCTTTACCTTGCGCGCTGTGTGTATAATATGTACACAGGTACTAACATGGTCCAACGGTAGTACATTCGCGGTTGAGATCCGGCAGGCTGCCCTGATTAATACTGCAGGTGTCACTGGATGTTCAAGATCTGGTGACGTCTTCTTGGTTCTTTCGGTAAAGTCACGTAGAAGGGAAGTAATAAAGAACCAAGAAGATGAATCCCTGCAGTCACGAAAGCTTTAAATCGAAAAATCTGGTGACGTCTTTTGAAAATAATAGGACAGAGTTTGTTCCAGCATTATGGTGCAAACTTGCCAAATTTGAAAATGTACTTGAAAGTTACTTAATGGGGAATGCACATCAACCCCCTACTGTAAAACTACTGCAGACTGTAAAAGCATCGCACCTTTTTGAATAACCCTGCGCCATGAGAATTATATGTATGTTTTTATTTTATTTTTTGTCAGACCCAACATTAGTGCAGTGTAAAATAGAGGTTCTGTTTTACTTACAAATCAAAGCCTGCATGGTTTTTTTAATTAACTGAATTGAATGTATTAACGTGTATCTCTTGTAGGCCTACTTTTCTACACATACCCATGGGTATATTGTTACAGTCGTATACCTCCGTTAAAGAGGCTCACATTATTAGTACCAGTAATGAATTCAATGATAAGTAAAATATATTGTTACTTTTAGGAAAAATGTGAAGATATCCCAATGTTATTATTCAACGTGGTTAGTTGCTCTGCTGAACGTTGTGTAAATATTCATCAATCTTATAAATACTAGGCAATGTTTAAAGTGAGCACCTCTGCTTTTGTAATGTTCATTATAATTTCTGATCGTTTCTGAGTTTTCATCTCACATTGCAAGTCAAATGTATTTTATTAGGTAGTGTGGCATTAAGTTCACAAGAGCATTTTGCGTTAGTTTTTAGGGCAATATGGTTCTATGAATAATTATACTTTGGCTTGAGATGTAAAAATATACATCTAAGAACGTTGAGTGTAAGTTGCATTTTCCAAGGCCTTTTGTATGCTGCACATTCATGTTTAACTTTAGCTGTGCCTCATTACTTGACATAGCTGACTGATCTGTTTGTGTTCATCTACTTGTTTGCATTATCATTTGTCCTTATTGAATGTGTAATACGGTGTGCCGTGGTGCCAATAATACTTTTCAAATGACAACGCTTCGTGTTTTTGCAGTTGCCTTCCGGATAGTAAACACTTCCGCAGTGACGTTGGGAAGGTCATCGACAGTTCACCCCCCAAGCGGCTTTATCGTTTTACCTGCCCTCCGGATGAACAGGTTATCATTGCACTTCCACTTATTAGAGTGAATTTGGCTGTAATGGTTCCACCTGAAGACGGAAGCTTGTGTTGGCCTCCGAAACGTCGTGATTAAATTTAGTTATTTATTTATTTTCATCTACGTGACTTTACCAAAAAAACCAAAGAGTATGAATCCTTGCAGTCACAAAACTTCAAATCTAGAATTAACATTGGTCTTGTTGTATATACAGTTACACGCTGCCATTTGCACACTGCCAATAACCTCTTTAGAATATATATTTTTATCTCACGGTGAACCTGAAATCAATCATTATGCTGTGGACAGTAGTCCTAATGTGGCATGTAACAATAAGGGTCTTATTTACGACGATCTGATTCACGATGGGGTTTTCAGGGAATCAATTTGTCGTAAAAGAGAGGACCGCTTGCATTTTCTCATCGTTTCTTTGGCTGTAAGAGCTAATGATGTGATCTTTAACAGGACTTTGCAATCAATTGGTTCCTATAATGACTATCATCAGCAAATCTGAATTGTTTAAGCCAATCTCCATTTCTGTTTTTCTTTAATTCCTCCTATCCATATTCTTGTTTCTTTCGGTAAAGTCACGTAGAATGGAAATAATCAAACAATAAAAACTTAACAATAAAATTTCCCTTCTACGTGACTTTACCGAAAGAACCAAGAATATGAATCCCTGCAGTCACGAAAGCTTTAAATCGAAGAAAAGTCCTCCTATCCAATTAATTATTTGTTTAATATTCAAATGTGTTTTGTTTATTTTATTTTACCTGTGGTCGGGCCCATTGAGCTAAGAAGCTTTTAACCCTGGCGAGGGTATCTCCTGGCCCAACTCCTCTTCTAAATGATCCAATCAATTGGAGATCAGAGTTAAAATGGATAGCCACGGGTTTCTAAATGATCTGTACAGGTTTAAGTTGTGTGGGATTTTTCTAGGTATTTATTTTCTTTAAAATACTAAAAGGAGTTAGTCCCTATGCTTTAAATGTAATCGTTTGTAATAACACTTGCTTTCTCTGAGAACATTTCATATTATTGTTCTTAAATTCATTGCACGTACATGTATGCATAACAATGTGTAACGTACCATTTGTAAATAGTTTTCTAATGATGTATTTTAGGGGATATGAATGTAATGAATGGAAAGCAGCATATACCTTCATTTATGGACACCTGTTTATTGATGCTTTTTTTTACACTTGTATATTTGTGATCAGCCATTAATCTGCCTGCCAGTCGTGAAGTATTTCCATGGAAAGCCGTCGTCGTCGTCGTCACGGCTACTTGTGCAAGGCGACTCTATGGGCCAGTTGACAGTTTGGCGCATACCGGCAGAACAAACGCAACATCAAAGTGGTCAGTGTTTCAGCATCTTGCATAATAAGCCTTGATATCCATGAATGTTGTTCTTCTTCCAGAAGCCTCACAAACATGTTTTTAAATAAAAATATATGTGCAACAATTAGAATCCACCAAAATCATGACCAATGCATTTCTTCAGAAACTTTCATGAAAATGGATTTTGCACTCTCCAGATCGAAGCACAAAGTGGGAGATTAATTGCATTTTGGTTAAGAACAGATTCCAGTCCAGTATATATCTATCCAAGGTAAAATGCAAGTATAGTGCAGATATTGCCATGGTAGGAAGATATCACATCTTTCATGAGGCATCTGGATTGCCATTCAACTTCACGGAGTAGGCATATCACGAGGGTGCTTCACAAGTGCTGATGCATCCCAAGGTAGGCGTCAAATTAATGGAATTTGTCTCAGAAACAGAATCACATGGTTGCAGAGAGTGAGCATATAAAGTACGGAGTTTGCAGAGTGGATTAACCGCACACATTATCAATCCCTTCTGTAAGTGGCATAACGAGAGTGCAGTGGACACCCCTGTCATACACACATACAGTCCGTCAATGTCAAGAAGCCATCCAGGCCACGGCCATGAATTCCATTGCACCTCGCCATTGCTTCGGTATGTCCGCCAGATCCAGCAACTGTAGCACAGTCAATCCCACACTGTGCTCAGCTATTGTACAGCTGGCTACACACCTCCAACATGTATTGCAGCATCGGCCTCAACTTGTCCATAATGCTGGCCCCACCACTTCTATAAACACCTCTGTCCTGCTGTACTTAATGGGTGCTCACGAATAACACATTGTTCCTCTATATGTGATATGTGCTTGCAAAGACAAACATTTTAATACATTACATAATATATGTGGCATAATAGGAAATACAATTATACAGCAAGAAACAATTGCTGAAGTGGGTAGAAGGACTCCCGTAATACGAGGTTGTGGTTGTCTCACCTGATGACGGACGCTTGTGTTGCGCCCGAAACGTCGTGATATAATTTATTTTATTTTCTACCTACGTGACTTTACCGAAAGAACCAAAGAGTATGGACCCCTGCAGTCACGAAAACTTCAAATCTAGAGGAAATAAAATGTATTAATAACATTTATTTTTTACTTTTTTTTCTTCCAGATTTGGACATGACCAGACGGGTGAGTTTGAAGTCTCACTTTGAGGTGGCCGTGCCTCGTCCAGCAGGTGTCATAGATCAGTTGAGTGTGGTTCCAGGATGCAGCAAACCTCTGCTGGTGATGTCCAGCATTTACATTCCTGCCAGTGGACAGCTCGTGTGTGGCCGTGAAGACGGGAGTATTATCATTGTACCTGCAACGCAGACTGCAGCGGTACAGCTGCTGCACGGCGAACATGCATCACGCAGAGGTAACCACATCCTCTACACATAAAGAGGCAGCCATTCAAACCGTTTGCCTGCCGCGCAAAATTTAAAATGTTTTACAACTTTGTCGTATCGCTATCACCATCGTAATGTCGAAATATCGTAAGTCGGACCGTCGTAACTCGGGGACTCTCTGTATGTAGTGGACTGTTTATCAGTTACATACTAGTAAGATCATTGTTATGGCAACTGTCTTAGAAGTGACATTGTTTTTATAAGATCTGACTGATTTTAAGCAACAGCCCGGGATACACAGCCAGGTACAGGCAGTCCTTGACTTACAAGCGGGTTGCGTTCCTGAGACCTGTTCTTAAGTCCATTTGTTCATGTCTCGGAACTCAATATTTAATTGTACAGTGCATACGGTCAGTGTAATAATATGGGTTATGGTACAACAAATAAGGGAAGCAATTGTTAAACTCAAATCAGAAAAAATATTGTACATTTGCATATAATACTGTAATAGATACTTTATAGTAAATCAAACAATATAAAGCAATATGAAAAAAAAAATATTTTTTATTTTCACTTACCTCGAGTCCTGATGCTGGCTTGCTTGTCAGAAGGGGCGCGATGCTGGGACTCATTACAATCTCATGGAGCATCGCTTCGCCAAACAAAATAGTTCCGCGGTTCAGTTTGTAACTACGACCGAACGTTTGCAAGTCGGATGGTTAAAAATGATGTCTTATGGACGTTCATGAGTTTGGATGATCGTAAGTCGGACGTTTGTATCTCGGGGACTGCTGTACCCATGTGAGAGTTTTTAATATTTTGGGTTGCATTTTGAAGGTTTTTATCATTATAGTTGAAATTTCAGTGGTATAATTCTACATATGTCATGAGCAATATGTTGACACACCGACTTGTCATTTTTTGCCACTTTATAACAGCTGGCTTATTGTAATATAGCAAAAGCATAACTCTATTTAGACTCGTTAGTCCAGGTTTTTTTGTGATCTGTGTTGTGAATATGTAAAACTGCGCAGAGAGAAAGTCTGGTTACTTTGTTTCATGCCCTGTAAATATGTGATTTACCCATCGTGTCACGCGAGATTAGGCTGGCCACCCCACCGTACACTCCGTGGACACGAAGGCAAAGTGAGCAGCCTGCTCTACCCATATCAGCTGTCCCCTCGCTACGACCAACGTTGGCTGCTCTCTGGGGGTGTGGACTTCTCTGTGATCCTTTGGGATATCATCTCTGGAGAAATGTTGCACACCTTCTGCATCCACGGTGGCGAGATCCTACAGCTGCTCGTTCCACCAGAAGGATGCAGTGTAAGTTCACGACACTTAAAACACTAATCGTGTACTTTTTCACCAAAATCCATACAGTTTTTTATCAGCTGCATGAGCCATGGTTTGATATTATTTTGATAATGGGACAAAATAACCAATTGTTTTATTTTGTCTTTGTTAATTTATCACCGTGATAATGCATTATATTTTGAAATATACACTTCACGTTTTATAGAATATACAAAGGTGATTAAATATTGTGTAAGAACGTACATTTTGGTCATCATCGACACACTTGATTTTAAGTAATGAGTCTGTACAAATCACTCGTCCTCCCACGAAGTTTTATTTTTGGTTTGTGATGTATACTTGTTGGAACACGATAAGCATATTATTTTGTGTAATAAAGTTTATTTAAACAATTTTCTAATACCACTAAGCTAACCATTCCATAACTGAAAAATAAGTTAAATATTTGTTCTCTTTAAAATGTGTCTTTATTATGTATGTTGAACTTGTTTCGCACCGTACACAGCTTACGATGTTAATCGGACGTGTGGGAGAAAGACGACAAACTAAACACAAAAAGCATTTTGTTCAACGAGTGTGATTCACAGAGGGGTCATGGACTGGAGCTATACTTTTGATTTAAAGCTTTCGTGACTGCAGGGATTCCTATTTTTGGTTCTTTCGGTAAAGTCACGTAGAAGGGAAACAATAAAATAAGAAAAATATAAAACGATAAAATTATCACGACGTTTCGACTGCAACACAAGCAATCATCATCAGGTGTGAAACACACAGCAAGAAAATTTGAAAAAAAGTCGCTTTTTTTCTTAACGTTATGGACTCGTCCATTTGAACAACTGCCAAAATCGCTGTCCGTGGTGCTAACGTTTAGAAAAAAACGCCACTTTTTTCAAATTTTATTGCTGTGTTTTTCACACCTGATGATGATTGCTTGTGTTGCACTCGAAACGTCGTGAGAATTTAATAGTTTTATATTTTTATTATTTTATTGTTTTATATTTTTATTATTTTATTGTTTCCCTTCTACGTGACTTTATTGAAAGAACCAAGGATATGGAGCTATACCTTTACAGTGTTTCAGATGTACAAAATAATACCACCGTGTGTGTTAATTCCCGTTGTTGTCCTTGTGTTCCTGATGAGACAGACGCGTGTGCAGCACTGCGTGTGTTCAGTGGCAAGTGACCACTCGGTGGCCTTGTTGAGCCTCAAGGAAAGACGCTGCATCATGTTGGCGTCACGCCACCTCTTCCCTGTGCATACCGTCAAGTGGCGTCCCCTTGACGACTACCTGGTGGTCGGCTGCTCAGATGGGTCCGTCTATGTGTGGCAAATGGAGAATGGTGAGACCTCGCAACTGTTTCATAACTTAAGTGCGATAATGAGCAACTACCCCATGGGAACCTCATTTGCCAGTAAAAATATGATAATTGTTTTTTTACCCTTCTATCTGGCAACAAAACTGACACCTTTTTACAAGGAGTCATGTTTGCATAGACCACAATACCTGCAGTCATAATGCAAACAAAAAACATAACTCTGATAATGAGCACTGTCCTTGAAGTTGAGCAACTACATTTGTGAGTGCGTTTTCCGAACACGTCGGTTTAAATGCACTATATGCCCTACGGGCCTACACAACCACATGATGTTCGATGATCTCCTCAACACCAACCACAGACTTGAGTTATTATCCTAAATATTGGAAATGTTGAGTTATTTTACAATGTATTGGAAACATTTACAATATATCAAATGTATAAACACACAATAAAACCCACGGCATGTTTTAATAGCATCATCTTATAATTAACTACTATATTTACCCATGGAATGTCAGTGTGTAACATGCATGACGTCACTCCACGTCAACCAGCCCCCCTCATTAATAATCATGAACAGGTGACATCCTCCAAATTGACACCCCCCCTCCGTTAATATTAATTAGTGGGTGACGTCACTCCACATGGGGGGGGGGCGAGGCGCCTCCTCCCCTCTCCTCAGCGTCAACTTACAACCCTCACTACACAATCTCCGTAACGCTATTGAGACATAGAAGTAAAAAGGACGTCAGGATGAACAAGGGATTATAACCTTTAAATGACATAGGTCTGTGTCACCGCGGCCTTACAAATTGCACACGAATTGATGCAATGAATATACCAAGTCGCGGTCTGTTTTTCGCTTGCAAGTTTCAGATTTACTGCAATACACCCGCCCTTGGACGGGCAAAAGGCTAGTAGATTATAGAGTAGGCCATTCCTTCACATCAGAGAGAAAAGGCAGAGCGATTGGCTGATGTGCAGTTGGAGGTTTAATATACTGGGCGAAGTGACAAGGATGGCCTTTTAAATGGTCCTGGGATATTATATTTGGGTTTCTGGCAAGCACGTTCAATTAATATTGACTACCGGGTGTTGTATAGCTGTTGGAACAACAATGCTAGGCTAAGATTTTCTTTGTTTTGAAATCTCCAAGAGGCCTTTAGATTCTAATGAAAGGGTGCCTTTCTATATCCTTTGTGTGCAGGAGCATTGGATCGGTGTGTAATGGGCATCAGTGCAGTGCAGATATTGCAAGGCTGTGATGAAGCTGTTCCAGCAGCCTTGGAGAGTGCGAGCCACCCAGCAGTAAACCTGAAGCAAGCCATGGCGCGACGCAGCTTGGCCGCTCTCAAACACGCAGCTCACCACAAGCTTCACAGCCTGGCCACCAACCTGCTTGCATCCGATGTCAATGACAAGGTATTTAACGTAAAACATGTTGACATCTCTTTAACATGCGTTTGGCATACTCATTTGTAGGTTTAAACTAGACAAGACACATTTGCCTTTCACGAAAAAACAACGAATGAGTGCCTAATTATTTGACGATTGAATTCAAGTTGTATTCACAAGTTATTGACTTATTACATTCTCGTTTAACAATGGTTAAATTTAATGAGTGAATACTGCCTGCTATGACATGGTCCAGTAACATGGTCATTCATGAAAAAAGTGCACGGAGAAACGTGGAGAAATTAGTTGATCGGAATTACACCGGGACAGAAATAGGCACAAATGGTTAATGGCATCATTCAAACTGTAAACAAAAGTGGGCCTGGGAAGCTTGATGATGGTTAAAAATCATGGCAAAGTGACGGATAATACATTTTACGCATCTGAGAGAACAAGGAAATGGAGCGTTGAAATCGGTTATTTGTGGGCACTGCAGTGGCAAGATGTTAACTCCTTCACCTGGTGTGCAGGAGGTCGTGGGTTTGATCCCGACCCTGATTGATAACTGCGTATTTGAAGTTTGCTTGTTCTCCCCCTGGTCACGTGGGATTTTCTCCAGGTCCTCTGGTTTTTCCCTCCACATTTAGAAACATGCGTTTAGAGTCTTTGGCTGCGCTCAATTTCCATGTGATAAGCCAATTCATAGAGCTATCGTTTGTGGCCAGATCGCTTCTGAAAAATAACTGTATAGCTCAGTGGGCTTTACTTGGTAAAATAAAAAATAGATTAGTTTGTTGTTCAGTTTTAGATTATTGCATTATTGTGAGATATGGCAGTAGCTTGGGGAGGATTTTATTCAGCAGTGGTTCACCATGGCTGTTAATGATAATTACATTTTATCGTCTGTGAATATCATCATCTTATTATCCATTTATAAATTTAGTCCAAAGGATTTTAGGTTTTTTTCCATATTTAGACATGTTTCAGGAGGAAGGTTTAATTTGTCTGCACACTCGGATAGTTGATGGTAAATGTTGTCTACCTTTTTAGGATTCAAGTAAAAAACATTCACCTTTTAACTTGACGTGTTATTTTTCTGTTTTGTTGCAGGATGCGCTCCCGAAACACTCCAACACGGCACTGCTAGTTCAGGCCCTTCGCATGAGTTTGGGAGATCCGGACATCCACGTGCTATTTTTTGACGTGGAGGCTTTGGTTGTACAGTTGCTGACAGAAGAGGCATCACGCCCAGTACCTGCGCTTATTTCTCCAGACACCCTACGTAGGCCGTCCAGTTTCTTGGACCGTGGAGGTTTGGCAACATCCTCTTTTCTTGCTGGGAAGAAGGCCGGCGACATATTTCAGCAGGTCAAAGATACTATCAAGGAAAATATCAAAGGTAACTACGTAGTTTATCTTGGTTTGTGTGGCAAAATACCATGCCTAAATACGTGTTTACTTCATTTAGGAATATTAAATATTCTTTTTTACACTCTAACACCTTTGTACACCTAACCCCCCCCCCTCGCTCTGTACAGACGATGCATTCTGGGAAAAGGCCATGCAGAGTGAATCCATGCAGAGGGAACCCAGTTTTACAGAGTAGCCAAATTAGTAACAACCATTCCATGATAGGTCAGATGAATGGGTACACTTTGGATAAGAATATCATTGAATACCAGCTCGCTCTGCGGTATTCATCTGCAACCTCACCACGCTGCACTATTTGTGCTTGCGTAACTAACGCAAACATTTCCGCACGTTGAATTTTTTACATGATTTCCGTAAAGTTGGATATCCGTAACTCGGATCTTCTGCATCTCGGGGACTTACTGTATGCATGTAATTTGAACTTTCGCACCGTATGTAGCCAATAGTGCTAAGCGGAGGTGCAGGGGAAGGACAAGGAACTGAAGACAAAAGCATTTTCAAAGAAATGAGTCAACTGCTATAGATTTAAAAGTACATAGCTCCAATGGCTTCTTAATACCGGATGCAAGAACATTCCAGACGGCTGTAGAAGCCCATCTGGTGATGGAAGAAACTGTTTAATTTACAGCCTTACTTAAAAGTCTCAGTGACTGGGTTTTTGTCACCCTAATCAAAATGGAATTTTAGTCAGTTGTGATTGTTAAGTAGAGTATCTCCATGTTTAGTAGGTAAATGTCTCTCACTTTCACCTCATGCAATTAAATTAGTATGATACAAGAAGTGTCTTTTATCATCTGCAACATTTTTGAGTTGCAGGGTGTGTGAAAATTCATAATGTCTGCGATTTTCCTTAATTTTACCCTCCTGCTTTGTGCAATGACTTCCTATTCACTGACAAAAAATGCATGAATGAGAGGCACGCGGAAATGACGCTCTATTTACCGGCGACTTTTTAAACGTGGTGCCAAATATACATTTTCAGTACCGGAAAAGATATACGGGAGACCCTTGCATATTGCAGGGGTTACGTTGTTTGAAAGTACCACGAAAGCCCAAACCGCGCAATACAATACTTCAGCCTTGCATAAATAATGGGGTTAGGTACAAGGCAGCCAAACATAAACACGCAAAAACCTTATACAAGAAATATTCCAAGACAATAAATAGTATTAATCCTGTACTTATGATCCAAAGCAGGTGTGTGTGTTTGTGGGGAGTGGTCGCGCTATGAACTCGGTGACTCGAGTTCAATTCCTGCTCACGCCCAACACCGGTGACGATTATCTGAATCGTTCCTGGGCCCTCCCCTAGGTCGACTCGGCCTCACATGAGTACCTGGTATGATGTGTAAACATCATCACTGGGGAGACAAAGGCGGCCAGGCATGATGCTGGCCACCCACCTCCTCGTGTGTTGTGCCGGCCTTCATAGGTGCTCGCTAGTAGCACTTGCCCCAACAGTTGGTTAAGGCTACGCTGGGGATCTTTGTCTTTGTCCGCAAGATGCTTGCATGGCAGCGATTGAGGTGCCACTGACAGCCTTTCGTCCCTCGCTAGCACCACGGTGTCAGTCAATGATGCAGTTCTTCCGGGTACACTATAACCACGACAGGCCAAAACTAACCACCGTGATAGCTACAATAGTTCAAAATAGCCGATATTCACGGGTTTCCTGTATCCACAAATTGAGGTCGTCCATCTGGTCGTCCATCTAGAGATATTTAATCTCCATTCGGATGCTAAGGATTAAGCACTGTTGCGGACGTTACAGCTAAACTCCCCTTAATCTGGAATAATAATTAGAATGCTCCTGAAACATGTATGTGTTACATTTTTAGTCTTGTGTGGTTTAGACACAGACATTGGTAAACTATGATATCGATCCTTATTGTATTTTGATGCTTGCTGAGGACAGTTATTCACCATACTTTATCCTCCGTACTTTATCCTCCAGAGCATCTGTTGGATGATGATGACGATGAGGACGAGCAAGACCAAAGTCACGATGGAAATGTGGAACGTCGGTCTCACCACTCCAAGCCTCTCACTCTACAAGGCGCAAATCTGACCATGGAAACAGCGAAGCTGTTCATGTCCTGTCTGCACACTTGGGGACTCGATCAAGCACTTGATGAGATCTGTCTCTCCAGGCTTGGCTTGCTGAAACCTCACTGCCCTGTCTCATTTGGACTGGTTTCACGTGGTGGGCACATGTCTCTCATGCTACCTGGATGGAGGCGTCACCATGCTTCAAGTGTGTAAAATTAAATTTAATTCTCTAATCATTGTGTTGTTGTTATGACAAATGACAGTTTTTGTACGTTTGATAAGTCCTTCCAATATCTTATCGGTTCCATAGCATCTTAATGTGAGTGAAAGTAAGTATATTTTGTATGTTGTAAATATAATAACTTGTGCTCAATGCCAAGAGGTGATCGCGGTCATTGCAGTTGATGTCACCACACCTCACCCACCACTCCTTTCGATTAAATCTCACAGCTTTTGCAAAGTTTGCACGTGACGTCGAAGGTCTACCCTCCACAGGGCATACCACTCTGCATCTAACGATCCATCAAACTAGTAGAATTAAATTATTGCACTCGTGATAATTGGATCAGACCATGGTTATAAGGATCATTGATTTGCACTTCATGTAGATTAAATACAAGTGATATGTTTATGCTATATTTAGGATAATGGTTAACTCGGTTTTGTTGACTATGAAAACAAATGTTTCTTTTCTCTTTTGTTAAGACGTTATGGTTCTTTATTTCTATCCGGAGTCAAAGCCATTACTTTATTTTTTTCTCCTCTCTCCATCTAGCTTTCATCCTCTCGTGTTGTTCTGCAGTAGTTTTTTTCATTAATTTTTTTCATTTATTTGGTATAGCCCTGTGAGTCATTCGGCTCTTGAATCAGTAGTAGTAACCCCAAGCATCGTTTACGTTTTGTGCGGTTATGCATGGCCTCGCCACTTTCCTTTATTAATCTCGGGCCTAGCCCCTCTGCATGTCATTCACCTGCCGTAGAGTTCCATCGACCTGCTACCTACGAGCCTGCACGCCATGTTTGCATGAAATTCCTTTCACACTTGCGATTCTTAAAAGTTCCTGTGACAAATTATCCACCCACCTGTCACTGAATTTTACCTCCCCAACATCATACCTGGACAATAAGTAGATTCCGATTCGATCCTATTTCTTCATCCGTGTAGTCTTGCACATGACTAGCCGATGTTTGTTAAACGTCTATTCCATGTGTAAATCGACCCCTGGGTATATTAATTATTAATTATTAATTCATCCTACAGCGATCACCACACTCAATAATGCTAATTAATTATTAAGTAATAGTGTTTACAATTGATTGTGAAATAGAGATGTGCAATGACAAAATGTAACCTTATGTGGGTATGTGGGTATACTTGGGCTGTTTTTATATATAGTATAAATTGATTATCTTTCATTTAATTTTATTTTTATTTTCTTGTTTTATTTAATTTAAATTTATGAATGATGCCCTGACTGGTGAGCATTTTAAATTTCGTTGTACTGGTGACAATGACAATCAACGATCTATCTAATTTCTCTACAATTTACATTCCGTGAAATATAATACGAGTGTGAAATAAGTTGTCGGGAGATTAAAGATTACATGTTGTTGTGTTTTGCCCTCAGACATTGAGCAGGAGAAGACTTTGAATAGCACCCTTGGTGTTTCAAAAGCTGTAACCACACAGCATCTGCTCTCCATCATCTCACTGTCCAACACCCTCATGAGCATGACCAATGCCACATTCAAAGACAGTACCAGCAAGAAGCTGCTTCACAAGTGAGTAAAATAGCAATGGTATATTTTAAATAGTTATTTAATGCATTCATCTAATTTCAATCAAATATTGCATTAATTTGCTACTCATGCAATAAGGGAACGTACGACAATTGGTAGCAGATTAGGTATCAAAACGCAAGGGCAGCAGGTAGATATTTAATAAATACATATTCGAAGGGGAGTAGGCCTCGGTAACACTTTTGTCAATGTTATTCATGGCGACATGAAGATTTATATTCGGAAAATGGTATTCGATTTGCTGACAACACGGCCGTGATAGCATCCAATGGCCATGAGCTACTGGATACACTCGAATAACTTAATGATGATAGTCGCAATGCTCGACTCAAGATGAATATGAGAAAAACATGTTTAGTTTCAAATGTATTCTGGTTCTTTCGGTAAAGTCACGTAGGTATAAAATAAATCAATTAAATCACGGCGTTTCGATTGCAACACAAGCAATCATCAGGTGGGAAAACCACAGCAAGAAATGTTTTTGCTGAAGTGGGAGAGAGAGTTGCCGTGGTAAAATATAAAATGTTGCTGTGGTTTTCCCACCTGATGATGATTGCTTGTGTTGCAATCAAAACGTCGTGATTTGATGTATTTTTTATTTTATTACCTACGTGACTTTACCGAAAGAACCAAAGAGTATGGATCCCTGCAGTCACGAAAACTTCAAATCTAGATTAGTTTCAAATGTATTTTGTTGAACCAGGTGAGAACTCAAATCTAAATCACGTACAACAAGTTCACTCAATCAGAGATATATGTCGGAGGGACACACTGGCATTAGAATGTGCATACTTAGAGCCCGCTACCAAGGTGGAACACGATGAAATAGTTAAATTAATATGCAGAAGAGAAACTGAACTCGATAGGGAAAAGCATCATAGAAGTGTCTAATAAAGAAAGTTTTTAATTATGATAATTGGTTTTTTACCCTTCTATCTGGCAACAAAACTGACACCTTTTTACAAGGAGTCATGTTTGCATAGACCGCAATACCTGCAGTCATAATACAAACAAAAGACAGTTTTGTTGCCAGATAGAAGGGTAAAAAACCAATTATCATATTTTTACTGGCAAATGAGGTTCCCATAGTGTAAAAGTTTTTCATCATCAAGTACCACCTATGACATCTGAAGACAAGCTTAGGCAGGGCATATCACAAGGAGGGATGATAGCTTGTTGGTGAGAATAATGACTGAATGGCAGTCAAAGGAGAGAATGAGCCCACTGTGGAGATGGAGTGAAACGTTTGTCTGCTGTGCAAGTGATGGGGGGATTGTCGCATCGCGGAACTGTTAAGAATGTCAGCGGCTTGGGAAGGCTTTCATCCAGCAAGTTGACTGATTGTGGATGATAAGTTAATATTCCACAGTCTTCTAAAAATTTTCATTTCAATTCATAAATACAGCAGAACTTTGGTTATTCAGGGTCGGTGGAGCATTCATTTTATTTTGCAATTATCTGGCCGCTGTTCCACATATGGTTATCTGATGTTTTTACTCCAAATAACTGGAGTTTTGCAAGTGAGGACCACAGTAATCCGGGGGGATGAGCTGTGATGAGTTGTAGACGTGTGTTTTGTGAAAACCAAGTGAAACCTCGGATAGCTCACATGGATATGTGTATCCCACATTACCCTGGATAACTCGACATTTGTATATAGATGAGTGAGGTCTCAGCCTTACATGGCAGCTGTGCGAGAGGGATTTGCTGGCAACACAGACACGATGCATATTATATTAAAGATTCTTATGAGTCAGTATTTTTAAATCCTTTATATTAAGTTCGCTTGTTTGCTTAGGACCGTGCAAATCTTTCGGTCGTTTTTTAACCCACTTCCCGTGATCCAATCGAGCTGACATTTTCCACACAGACTCGTTGTGTGTGACAATGTTCGTGAATATTTTTTTCCAAAATTTTACACTTTTTAGGACAAAAATATTATATTTAATTACCAATTGCTTAATGGTGCAATGCAATCATCTGACCCATAGGTGGCAGCCATCTCAAGCCAGAGGACGAGAGGACTCTAGCCGCCACGCATATAAAGGATTTATAGTGAAAAACTTTGTTTTTACAGGTTATACTTATTATTAAACAATTGTACAGTATAGATTAAATAAATGCCATACTAGAGATGTGTTTTCCATAATGTAACTCAATTCTTACGATTCCTTTAAAAAAATGTAATGACAACAAAACCCATAACAACAGAAACCCAAATTTTTCGATTTAAAGCTTTCGTGACTGCAGGGATTCATCTTCTTGGTTCTTTCGGTAAAGTCACGTAGAAGGGAAGTAACAAAATAATAAAAATAAAACATAATAAAATAAAATAATTCTCACGACGTTTCGGCTACAACGCAAGCAGCCGTCTTCAGGTGAAGAATGAGACACTACCAAGCTAGGAGCTTATATATAAGCTGCGTTGGAGGTGGAAGAGCTTATATATAAGCTCCTAGCTTGGTAGTGTCTCATTCTTCACCTGAAGACGGCTGCTTGCGTTGTAGCCGAAACGTCGTGAGAATTATTATATTTTATTATATTTTATTATTTTGTTACTTCCCTTCTACGTGACTTTACCGAAAGAACCAATAAGAAAAAAAAAACAGAAACCCAGTTGAGGAGAATTGTTACAATTTCGGGTCATGATATGATTTAAAATAGATATATATTTTTATGTATATACTAGTAACCCGACCATCCATCTAATGATCCAATCGAAATCCCTAATTTCGATCGGATCATTGGGGTTTATTAGTAATAAGTCGGCATTTTGCGACCCCCACTGCCACTGTGTAGCATATTATTACGTGCCAGGGACTCTATGAGATGAATGGATAATAGTCTGAGTCCATAATTGGCAATAAGTAACGGCAAAGCGGTTATAAGTGACTCACATAATTGTGCGCAGTTGCGTATACAGTAGACGACTTCCCTGAAGGCATTCACCTTCAGCGAGCGCGATGCCGATCACACGCGGTTCGAATTCGACCCTCGATCGATGGCTGCGTCATCGCCGCACACGCGTCAAATAAAAAGCAAGGGACAAGTCCTTACTTACTAACAACTCCAAAAATTTGCTGGAGGGGTTGCCCACCCCCCCCCCCTACCTGAAAATCCTGGCTCCGCCATTGCCTGCAACCCAGCACTGTGGACGCAAGGGTTGTTGGGTCACACAAATGTTGTGAAACTCCCTTCCCGTCGACGTCAAGAGTTGCCATACCCTTACTCGCCAGGAGATGGCGGTAGAGAAAATGTGGACCCCATATTTTCTATATGTATCGGATGGAATGTCGCCCCCTTGTTTGGGTTTTCTGCACGTAACTCATCAATTTTTGGAATTTGGTGCTGGCTCGCCACGTAACTGTCTTTTCCTCGCACTTCTGGGTCGTTCTTTCTCTTCGAAAGTGAGCTCGTACCGTGTGGCGCATTATACCTTGAAATTATTATACCGTGAGAGCCATATTTAAGTTTATTTACTAGCGAATCAAATGAACATGAATGTGTGCTTTTGTAATGTTTCCACATTTTTAATAGTTAGTTTCCTTCTAGGCCTCACAGACAGGGAAGCCATGATGGGGTGAAGACCAAGGATGACAGTCCTGCTATCAACCCAGTCATCCAAGGACAAATTAAACAAGGTATTAACTTTCAAAAATTCCCGTGGCCTTTAAATACATCTTTCTTAATTATTGTCAGAAGTATTGACATTGACAAATTGCACACCACCACAATTGTGCAGTTTACCGTATGGAGAACTCATGCTTAGAATGGCACCGAGAGGAGGGGGCATGGGTCAGAAGCATCCCATTATTGACTCATGAAAGCTTAGTGAGCGTCCTGAACAAGGATGTTCGACTAGAGCACGGGTGGGGAACCTTCTTTCTGCCAGGAGCCATTTGGATATTTATAACATCGTTCGCGGGCCATACAAAATTATCAACTTAAAATTAGCCTGTTGTATTTGGTCAAACATTTAATTAACTCACCCCTAATGCGATGGCTGGAACTGCTTCTCTTTGGCGAGGCGTGTGATGTTAGCTGGTATTGATGATGTTGCTACTCGCAACTGCTTGTCCAGGTTTGCTCCTAGATTTATTGAATTTCGAGTCCCGCCTGCGGTTGCCTTGGCAGGGCCAGATCAAATGATTTTGCGGGCCTTATACGGCCCGCGGGCCAGACATTCCCCACCCCTGGGCTAGAGGATGATGGCCAATACTGGTAATTGACACCAAACAGAGAAACCAACGTGCCTCAGAGGATGACAATTTCAGAGGCTGCGAGATCAGTTTGTGCAAGATTGCGATGGTTTCTGTCATTTTAAGACCAGGAGGGAGAATGACAAAATGGGGAGGCCTTCATCCAGCAGTGGATAGAAAATGTCTGTTTATGATCTGTTTATACCTAAGCTTAGGCTGCTCCTGTATAAATTTAGTTTTGAGTTTGACAGATGAAATTATATTTTTATGTGGATACACATGCTGAAGGAGCGACTGTCGCCTAATGGCTATCGGACCGTATTTGCAATCTGGATAGATTCCATTTTCCAGTGCGGAAGTTCAAACAATGTGGAAAGTTTCTCAATTCCTCCTCCGTCTGTCTGCCAGCGGCAGTACAAATGGATTCAGCACAGTCGATGAGCAGGTTGCTTTAGCAAACAGTTGCAGGGCTGCACCTCTACATTCTTATACACGCTTACCTATGACCAAGTAGTTTTATTCTAGGCGCATCAATGCGTAAATATGTGCTTTTTCGGTGTGGACGCTCGAATCCGCAGTTCACATACGACTCGCGCATTTGTACAAAATGTGTTTTTGTTCCACTTGTATCTTGCTGTATTATGTTATACAAGTACTAGTTGTCTGCAATTATTTATTGCGTTGATTATGTATTCCTTTTTTTAAACGTTTTATTTACTTTCTGAAGCAGCTTTTAAATTAAATTTGTAAATATAAAAGTTAGATCACAGTTCTACAAATGAAAGGGTTTCACATAATGACCGGTATATGCAGTGTTCACATTTTATGGAAAAAGTACTGTTGGTGAGCTTGGAGAAGCATGAATCAAATAATCTCCTTCACTGATGTATTTCCACATATAAATACAAGATAATCATGTTTAGTTTTATATTACATCGTCGTTCGTGCAAATTGCATCTCGCATTCGTTGAGGAACCACAGAGAAATGGGAAGGCGGCCAGGCGGACAGCGGGCACCAACAATTGCCCAAGTTCTGCAGTCCTCAATATATTGAGATAACATCAGCCAATGAATAAGTGCTTATGCATGTGGGAGGAAACGGGAGCATCTGCAGAAACCCCATGCATGCATGGGGTGGCAACATTCCATCCCATACAAGCCTGCACTTTGCGTCACGGCCAGCCAGGGAATTGCACCTCAATTCCCATGGTGCTGGATTACAGGCATACATAGCTAACACTGCTCAGATTATAGTTTGCCTATTGGTCCTCTACACTTATATTAACCAGCAGCATTTGTTTAAATGTGCGAACTCTTTACCAGATTTTTTTCTGGTAAGTTCCCCATCTCTATACTATTGGTAGCAGGTCTGGAATGCCGGTAGGCCAATATCCTCAAAGGTACTTTTGAATGTTGACATATGGAATGGAAGGTTATTTCATGTATAACCCAGAACCTTTGTGATCACACTTGGCATCTTCCCTTCATTCTGGATTGACTCTGCATGTTGCTTCTTCTCTTTAGCGGAACCTACAAATATCATTGCTAGTCGCCATAATTTTTGCGAGAAGGGTAGGGGAATTAGAAGCCTTTAGACAAATTACAAGCCTTGAGCTTACATGATATTCTACAAGACGAAGTCGTTATTTGCCCAAGCCCTATTTTTTAAAATCTTTCATAAATGAATGTCAGTGTTGAGTGTGTTGGTGATGATGACATTAAGTATGGGGAGAGGGTGAAGGGAAGAAAGGATGGGTACACATCAGTAGGTGCAGTTTAGTGAGACAGTTGTAATAAAAGCTAATATATTGGGATTGATTTGGCCTTCCTTACACATCCCTGAATTTGGTCATTACTGCTTAAGTAAATAGTCTACCAGATCGATAGTAAATGTGAAAACCTGCTAACATTTGCTCTCTAAATCATGTGCTATATTTTGTCTGCTAAATACCTTTCTTCCTGCATCTTTGCAAGCTGATCTTTCTGAGGCTTCAAACTGTGGCTTGGCAGTGCATAGCTCCGTGCCAGTCAAAGAAGGTATTGTGTTTGCATGCGCTCTTTGGCTTCTGCACCTTTTTTTGTATAATTGTTTGCACTGTACTTTATTAACGAATAAACTGGCATGTGTATTGTGCTTTATCATGTAACGGAATCTCTCGGAGCACAGATACCCCCTGTTGGCAGCTGTCCCTGTGTGGAACAATTATTCTTGCCAGTAGAGGGTGATGATTGATTTCTGTGCAAGTAATTTGTGGGTCATTTTGCTCATTCTGAACCGCACTTGACATTGCAGACGTTGATGTTGTGTAGAACAGAGCGAGAAATATACAAATGCCACGCAGAAAGGTGTCCCAGTTGTGGAATCGAACCCAAGCCCTTCTTAGTGACCCTTCTGCCCCACCGTAAATTGGCAACAGTGATTATGTACTTAGGGCAGTTTATTGTAACTGAACCGAGATAAAAATGTAAATTATTTTTGAAAGATACATTTCAATATGTCTAAACAAAAAGGAACAATCAAGGTGATACCTACTATGACATGCATTGGAAACAGAAGATGGAACATAAGCTAAAATATGTTCAAATACGTTTTGGAGAGATGCATGCTGGTGATGACATTGAGAGAGAACATCTAGTTGAGCATAATGACATAATTAAACTGTAATGAAAAGTTCATGGGCTTTGGTAGGACACGCTCGAAGGAATTGATGGCTGATGTTCAAGATTAATGAACGTGTCTGATAGGATGTCCATTGAGGTGATTGAGTAATAGGTTTGTGTGCAATTGCCAAGTAGATTATTACATTCCAGGATCATAAGGTGGTGGTGGCGTTTTAAGGCCTTAATCTAATAGTGGATAGAGCATGGCTGACGATTATTGACACTTTTTTTTAAAGGTTTTTTTAAATAGGGTACACAGATAGCACCCTCACGTTGGCATCGATAAGAGTAGTGATGTATCAGGCTTTTTGTAACGTCTTACTATAAGTATTGAATGTGTTCACTCAGATCAGTTATCAGCATATTGGAGGATAGTCCTACATCCTTGTTTTTGGTGGATTATATTGAGATTTAGACGACCATTCCACTGGAGCCGTGAATTAATATCACTTCGGTTTGCTGTAGAGACGTATCCCCATCATGGTAATGTGTAAATTATACCGTTTAGTCCAATACTTATTTGTATAAAGGGGCATAGATTTATTTTACTGTGACAGTATCAACATGTTTGAGGACAATCGACAAACGTGTAATGCCTTGTGTGATTTGGTCAGATACAAATGCATTTTGATGATGGTGCGTGACTCTAGGGTGGAGTCAACTGGCAGCCCTGCACTGTGTAATGTTGCCAGAACTACTGGGGCCTGGGAGTTTCAGGCCACCGATGCTTGAAATGCTGGTGAATAGGTGGCAAGATCGTTGTTTGGAGGTAAGCGACTGCTTTAGACAAGTAGCTTGAAACAACGGATGAGAAATTCTCTCTACAATATTATGAATTGTCACGGTTACAATTAATTCCACAGAGCACTTACAGAATCTTGATACAAATTAAATGTGAACATTGTTTTGAACAATGTGTGCTATAGAGCCATGTATTGTTGCAGCTTTTTTAATGGCGCCACTTTGACTACAATATTGTTGTAAGTGTTGCGGTGTATCTTACGACGCAGAGGCAGGTAAGTTGTATGAGATCACGTCAAGTTTATTAGGGGCTTCCGCCTAACTGGGTTACAGGCTTACGCCTAACACCTAACACCCTAGCCTATAACTCCCCAGGGGACACAGGGTACTGGGGATCCTACTACCCCGGCTCTCTGGGCTCTCCTGCCTGCACCGGCCGAGGGCTCAACCAACTTCGGCCGGTCGGGTAAAGTAGCCACCCTTAGCCTCCTGTGAGGATATCCTACCCCGGGTTCCAACCTTCACCCCCTCTCGTTCCCGGCTCCCACGACGACCCCGCTTACGTCACGGGCTTCCCCTTGAGTAGCACCTTGGGACATGACGTCACCGTCACCCCAAGGGCTGCCTGACGACGTCACTCCCCGCGACGTCACTCACTACTCCTCTGCATAAGTAACATGGCAACAATAAAATGTCATTGTTAATTGCAGCTGTATATTATCAGAATCGAAATCTTCATTTAGATTGGAGGAATCCATTGAGCGATTAAGCTGTTCACGGATGTCCAGTATGGGTGCATCAAAATATAAATTGTATACCATATTGGGGGTGGTTGAACGAGAGAGTTTAACACCTGTAAAAAATGTTCTGTGGATTAGTAGAAGCCACCAAACTTAATTTTAGCAGTAACAAGTTACTATTATTTACACATACTTGTGAAAGTGCTAAACTGCCTGTGCCCTCTCCTCTTGGCTATAGTGACTCCATGCTGAAGATCCTGATTTTTATCCTCCTTAATGTCACCTCAGACCTCCCCATTACTGCTTTCATGCCCCCATGGCATATAGATGCCATCAATATCTTATAATGTAGGTGACACTGTCATTTTATTTCATGATTAGCTGAACACTTCCTAAGTAAAGTAAATTCCCGTTTAACGTGCATTCACACTCCACATTTTCACTTTAACGCAGTTTTCTTTTATGGAATGTTTTTCCGCATAACTCGCACTGTGCCCGCTATAACGCGAGTTTAGTGCGTGGCGGGACTACTTTTCTGAGTGGCATGGGTGCTGGAAGCATTGTTCAGTGATGCTGGGAGCTGGTACTTCACTGATGCGCGCTGTGATGCGTGGCGTGCCTTCATTTTTCTCAGTCTCTGTTCCAGCATCTTCTGTGTGCGTAGCGTCATCTCACGCGCTTATCATTTTCACTTGCCTGTCTCTTGCTGTCACACACAACATATTTACAGAAATGCTATATAAACACAACACATTTTTAATTAACAAGTGTACTGTACTGTGAAATAAAAACAAGAAAATTATGGGCTGGAACGTCACCCCCAACTTTATCATTATTCCCTATGAGAAAATGACTCCCGCTTCTTGCGAATTCACTTTCTGTGGAAATTTTCAGAAATACAACACCCGCATTAAGCGAGGACTTGCTGTATATCACTTTACAAAGTGGTGTAATGGTCAGATTTGTAATTTATTAAAAGAGTTATGTTTTGTTTGGATTAATATTTCTTCTGAAATGTGAAATTTGCTGCATTCATATTGTTATACATCATTGCTTATGGGAATGTATAAATGCAACATTTAACATTCTGCAATAATTTTTTACCAAAAAAAACTGTTTAAGTCACTTGAGAAATATGACTAGTAGGTACGCAAATGCATTACTTGAACTATCAAATTTTAGTTGTTTACGGTGTAAATGCTTCATTCATTAATACATCCTTAATGTATTCGTATAAAGTACCCTAATTGATTTTGCTCCTGCTTTTGTGTTAGAAAAATATCGGTCAATTTTTACATTTTATAATGTTTTCAATTTATTTGCCCTTTGTAGTATGTATGTAGATTTTTTGTACGTATGCCAAATGTATATTTTTAAATCCTTTATATTAAGTTCGCTTGCTTGCTTGCGTGCTTGCTTGCTTGCTTGCTTACGACCGTGCAAATTTTTCGGTCGTTTTTTAACCCACTTCCCGTGATCCAATCGAGCTGACATTTTGCACACAGACTCGTTGTGCGTGACAATTAATTTTCGTGAAAAAATGTTTTCCCAAATTTTACACTGTTTAGGGAATTTTTTTAAATATTTAATTACCAATTGCTTAATGGTGGCAGACAATCATCTGACCCATAGGTGGCAGCCATCTCAAGCCAGAGGACGAGAGGACTCTAGCCGCCACGCATATAAAGGATTTATAGTGAAACACTTTGTTTTTACGGGTTAATTTTTTACTGTGTCATTATTCAAATCCTTATTGTTGTAGAAACCGTAGCTTAAATGTATCTATCTTCTCTGGGTTTTGTGCAGGTTCGCGAGGCAGCCCAGGCACTTTTATTGGCAGAGCTTCGTCGTATTGGCCACGAAGGGAGGAAGGAGGCAATCGACACGTGGGCGCCACACCTTCCGCAGTATGCCGAGAACCTTCACTCGCGTAAGTATGATTACACAATCGGGAAAACATCGTCTTCTCGCTCGACTGCATCTCAACTTCCTTCCCACGTTTTGTTACTTCACAGCAGGACAAACGGGAGAAGTTGCCCCAAGTGCATTGAATAGTCCTGAGCCTCTAGGAATGGATCTCAAGGGGATCGAGGAAGAGCCCGACCTCGGTGATGAAGAAGTATCTGCAGGTAATCATCACCTGGTAGCAACATTGCAAGCTGACAATTAACACTGGGGTTAATTGTGTAATTGTCGTGCGGTGATTTTTTATAAAACATTGTCACTGTCCACATGGTTCTTTTTAACACATGCAAGACACAACTTTGTTTAAATTCTGATTGAAATTAGTTTTGTTGTTTATGTAAATAAATGCACTGATTGGCCGATGGGGTCATGCGGTAAATATCTATCAGATGACAAGATTAATCTTTATAAAGTATACTTGGCTATTGTCATTACATTTAATTCTTGGAACTTGCTTAAAATGTAGTTTTGTTCATAGGCCTTGCTTAGATCCCCTACTTTATCCCCCAGGCCAGACCGTCCAGGCGAGATAGGAGGGCTGAGGTCAGGCCTCCTATCATTCACTGTATTAATTATGATAAACATAGGCAGGAGTTAAGTTTTAAATGGCTCGGTAATCCACAAAAGTGCCGCAAAACAGAAAAAATGAAGTTGCACAACACGATTGCAACAACTATGAGAAGTAAATAACACAAAATAGGAAAATATAAGAAAAATAACTTAGGAGTGTTAATTACACCGGACAGATTATTTTATTTTTTATCATTAAACAACTCCTAGCCGTCATGCACATCACAAAGTCGGCAACCGTTTGTACAAAGTTGCGAGGTGAAAACCTGCTTCATCTTCATTTCGCCATTGCTGCACACATTAAATAGAAGAGCATAAACATCATTTTTGCGAGCAACTTTATTGTAGTTTAACACGTTGACCAATATTATTCATAATAAAAAAAAAGTGTCACGTTGACAAAAGACATATAATTCTCGATTTGAAGTTTTCGTGACTACAAGGATCCATACTTTTTGGTTTTTTCGGTAAAGTCACTTAGGTAAAAACTAAAATAAATTAAAATGAAATTTTTTTATTTTATTTATTCACTACAGTAATTTTGCTGTGGCGGTTCCACCTGAAGACGGAGGCTTGTGTTGCTTCCGAATCGTCGTGATTTAATTTAGTTGTTTTCATTTTTTTTTACCTACGTGACTTTACCGAAAAAGACAAAAAGTATAAAAGACAAATAGTTCACTACTTTAGCCCACCAGTGTGTTGAAGAGTGAATCCACGATTTTTACAGTTTTTGAGTACAACGTTTCGCCAGTAATTACATCCAGCCTCATCGGACAATTCTCCAGAATGGTGAAGCCCTCACTTGCTCCCGGTCTTAAACAGAACAGCAGCAGGGTGACGTCATCATTTAACTCATTCAAACTGGATCTTTAACGTAGTGTATGTATATTTGTACTTGTTTTATGTACCTGTATTGTATGTCACATAAACAAATTATAAACTTCAATCCCTATATGATCTCTCAATTCCAATTTATTTTTTATCCATTAACCCCATGTCTCTCTTATCCATCGACCCCAATCCTTACATGATCCAGCAACCTAAAACCCTATTGATCCCCTCGCACAAATAAAAACACGAGCCACAGACCCCAATCTCTACAAAATCCATCAACACAAATCTCTTCTTGATCTACCACCCGTAATGGATGTGAAACCCCCCCTTAATATTTTTGCTATCCACCAATACAAATGTTCAGGCCCTTTGTCTTGTACTGTACTAGTGGGGAGCCCTGTGAGAATAAATGTTAATAAAATACTTACAGGGAGTTTATTCAACCACTGATGGTTAATTAAATTTAAACTTTCAAATTATTTTGACTGCAATTGCACAATAATGCAATAATTATTGTGTTATAACAAGAATAAAAACACATCCACATTTAGCTAAATAATGTTTAAAAGTAGGTTCTCGAGGCGAAGATGTTGCAGTCTTTGACAGTTGCGGTGTGAAAGGCAAAGTGATGCTGACTTCGTTACAGGATGACATTACACTGCACGTGGGTGCGTGCATTTGCAGGTGATAATCATACTCTGGGTTACGCCCGTCTCTTATATGATTTGATTAATTACACTCGCGGTTTTGCCATGCCTCCTGTTATGATAAATATACTCGATAAGCAGATCTGGGACCAATAAGCCTAATTATCTGAATTCATTAAGTCAAAGGTAAAACATTTTAATGTAGTCTGCGTGAACTTCACTTCATTAGCTTGCAAATGAAATTCAGTCATTGGGATTGGTCGAGCGTTCGAGGAGGATATACGCACAATGATATTATCCACTTATGTAGATTTATTTTTTTAAACAAGAACATGTCACATGGGTAATTTTATCCATGCTATCAAAATGTCACATCTCCTGCAAGTAATTTTGTTTGCATATTTGTGTCTTTAAACAGGTTTCCCTTCAAATGCAAGTTCTCAATTGCGAAAAGCACCAGCATCATACGAGGAGCGGAGAAAACAGGCAACTGCAATTGTATTGCTGGGTGTAATTGGAGCAGAATTTGGAGCTGAAATCGAGCCTGCCAAGCTTCAACCAGGCAAAGATTCACGGCCAAGGTCCAGCAGCCAAGTTCCTGAAGGCTTTGGGCCTACCACGTCAGGAACAAACAACTCCCTCGCTCGTCATACATGTATGTCGTAGTTACATGCTCCTAGATTAGTTGCTGAAAGGATGAGTGGTTAATGTTGCCTATAGAGGCTTCAGCAAAATGTAGGTTTATTAATGATATAACTCTTGTAACCCACAGGGTAAAACATATTGGGTAATTATTTGTTATTTGCTGTGCGGCGACTCTTATCCGGGGAAATATCGTGATTAATAGGAAGCTGATTCACTGTGCATTATGGGTAAAGTAGCAGATAATATGAAGAAATTGAGTCACAATGTCTTCATGGACCCTACAGCTGCCGAGGATGTGGGTAATGAGGCTGCAGATGAGAGGAGTTCTGTATTTAAACCTTGCTTGGCTCATTTTATAAATGTGTATTTGCATTACACATAATTAAATGTCTACTCAAATAGTAAATACTAGTTGAAGATGGCAGGAAGCTTAACCTGCACTATAGTATGTTTTTCTTTGACTTATCATTACATTATTAGCAGTGATCTAATAATACAATCACAACATTTTAAGCACTACAGTCACTTAACCCTCAAGTACAATGTTTTTACTGTATGTATTGTGAATAGCCATATACTCAAGGCTAATATTTGAAGGAACCTAATAGAGTGCATCGCAGATTTTTGTGACGATTCCTTCAAATGATGATACACACGTAGAATCTGTATCGACTTTTGGCTAGCCATCAAACAAAGATGGTCACTGCACCGCGCGCTTTCAGATGTGCTTTTGTGGCCATCTGGAATGCTCTTCTGATATTAGGAAGCCACTGGTGCTATGGACTTTAAAGTTTTGATTGAAAACTAATTTCTTTAGAACTGCTTTTTCATATTTAGTTGTTGTCCTCCCCCAAATCTGATTAGCATGGTTGGCTACGTATGGTGTGAAAGTAGTTATACATACATACAAGGTGGAATATTCTTGGTTCTTTTGGTAAAGTCACATAGAAGGGAAATAATAAAAATAAAACAATAAAATTCTCACGACGTTTTGATTGCAACACAAGCAATCATCATCTGGTGTGAAAACTACAGCAATACATTTTTAGCTGAAGTGCAAAAAAAATACAAGGTGGAACTTTGTAAATGCCTTAAATTTGCTAGAAAATTATTTGCGAATATATGCTAAATGAAGTTAAACAAAGCATTAAATATTCAGTTACAAAAGCATTTCTTTTCAAGAAAATTACGTGTTGCTTGAGTCCAAAGAGTTTGGGTTGGACGCCTTCTGGCGTCCTCTGGTCTAACACCGTTTTGAGACGAGGCTCAAAAGAAAGCTGTCTCTGGTGTCGACCAATCAGTTTCAAAGACAATGCATATATTATCTGAGTGTTTTTGTTTGCATTCTGACCACAAGTATTGTGGTTAATGCAGACATGATTCAGTTTGGTGTTGTAACATCCTTAACACCTGTTTTGTTGCCAGAAAAAAAGGGGAAAACCTATTCTCATATTTACATTGAATGTTACAACCAAACGATTCACCTCATTGTGCCTGGTTATGTTCTTGTAGGTAAGGCGTTGACTCATCTACTGAAGCCAGCGAACATGAAGCTGTCTGCACACACGCCTATCAGACGTGCAGCTATCGACCTGATCGGCCGTGGCTTTACTGTGTGGGAGCCATACATGGATGTGTCAGCTGTTCTTCTAGGTCTGCTGGAACTTAGTGCAGATAGTGACAAGCATCTTGGCAAGTAAGTAATTTTTGGTTATTTCCCCAGTTGTGGGTGTTACGTTTTTCATTTGTAAGTTTACTTAGTGGTGCTCTGTGGCAGTGGTTCTCAGCCGGTGGTTCGCACATAACCCCAGGGGACATGCAAGAGACTGTTCCACGTAATGGTGGTGGTCGCAGGACACTGTCACTTTGGGTCCCGAGGCAGTGTTGCTGTATCTGCATTCTAAATTCTCCAGCTCCCTATTAAATCCCTTATATGGAACAAGCTTGTTTGCCTGTCCAAGGACGGGTGTATATTGCAGTAAATCTAAAATATTTAATAGAAAAATTGTTCAACTCATTATTAATGAAGGGGGGTGGGTGTTGCCCCATGTGGAGTGACGTCACCCGCTAATGGTTATTGGGGAGGGGTGTGGCATGTGGAGTGACGTCACCACCTCATGGTTATTGGGGAGGGGTGCGGCATGTGGAGTGACGTCATCCTCTCATTATTAATGAGGGGGGTGCCTCATGTGGAGTGACGTCACCCGCTAATGGTTATTGGGGAGGGGTGTGGCATGTGGAGTGACGTCATCCTCATTATTCATGAGGGGGGTGCCCCATGTGGAGTGACGTCACGCGCGTGACACACATTCTTGGCTCACTATATCTGTAATTTGGTGAACCCATATACTTGGGACGCTTTGGCGTTCTGCTAGGGCTCTTTTCCTTTAGATTTATTTTGCAAATGCACAAAGTAATTTCTCAATACTGTCACAAGATTTATTTTCTTCCACATCTCACTGCTTTCTGGTGAATGCAAGTGACTGATGAAACCGCAGTAATTTGTTGAAATATGAATCTGTAAATATCTAGTGAAATATTCTATTGTTAACTACATTTCGTAGATGTTAATTGCATGTAAATTGTAATTCTAATGTGTTAATCAATTATTGCATTATTCGCAGTATTGTGTATGGTGGGAGGGGTACCCAATAGATCTGGTACGTGGCAAGCAAAATGTTGGGAACCACTAGTCTATGGCATAAGCTGATATAAACACTATTTTAGAGTTATGATTATTGTTATTAATTAATGTATGTCGTTGTGTTTTCTCGTTTGCCACCAGCGCAATGAGTGGATTTCCACTGACAGCAGCTGCAGACACTTGCAGATCAGCACGGCATGCCCTGTCCCTCATCGCCACAGCACGGCCTCCAGCCTTTATCACCACCATTGCCAGGGAGGTAAGCTGTTGTTCCTTGTATTCATCACAATTTAGCACACAATAACACATTCCTGCGGAGGGAGCTGGTAGTAACGTTGGGTTGCTCGGTCAATGGCCAGGGTCAACGGCGGCGTGGTGTATTCCGCAAATATGGCCGACTGTGAGGGCGGGCACAAGCCGGCGTGAGTAGGTTAAACGTTGAGTTTTATAAGGGCACCACGGGGTGACCAGCCCCTCCCCACCCAGCCCCACCCCACCCCTCCCACCCCCCACCCACCCCCCACCCAGCCCCACCTTCCCCACCCAGCCCCTTTCCACCCTCCCCTCCCCACCCAGCCCCTCCCCACCCTCCCCTCTCCACCCAGCCCCACCCCTCCCATTTTTCGATGCACGACGGACGGACACAATAATCCCGTGGGCTGGTGTAACCAGGAGGTTCCTACCAGTATAAGTGTCTCCATATTACTATAACCTAATTAATAAGCATGTTTTATTTTTTCACAAAACATTGCCTGAATATGTGATAAACAAATAATGCATACAAATCGTTGGTAGAAAATATCTGTATTTTAATTACTACACCCGAGTCTTAATATAATATACCATGAAATCTTACATGAGATCAAAACACAATCTTCATGGAGTGCATCATAAGGTGCAGCATCTTGCTGTGCAGAATATTGGATGCTTTGTATTTATTTACATATTCATGTTTATGTATATAAACCACTGTAAACTCTCTTGTCCAAAAATCTCCATGTTGCACTACTGCTGTATAAAGCAACACTCCCCCATTTTGAATGTGTTGAAGTTAGCTGAATGTTGTCAGTTAGAGCATGTCATATTTAATTAATTTTAATTCCAAAAACTAATTTTAATCCCATATTACTGCAGCAAATCTAAGCCCAGACATCTTCCATCCATGGCAATGTTTATGCTTAACAACCTAAGTTGAAGGGTCAATACATTAGCTGTCTGCTGCCCGTCTGTCCATTTGTGTGGTGCCAGGGGCTCTATATCCCTCAGAAAGACATAAATAAGGCAGATGATCAGCTAAGCAGCACCACAGCCCCGCAAAATGTGTAACAACCGTCACGCAATACAAAGATGTCATGCTGTAATCCAATGATGTACTAACAACGTCACCGTGCTTACCTTAACACCGCGCTTACCCGTAGATACAAACATTTCCAGGACGCGGTTGGTAAATTGTTATACTGTACAATTATATCGTGAGACGGAGTGTGAATCTGACCGATCACGGAGGTAGCGCAAGGTATAGAAGACAGAGGATTGGGTAGCTACAGACCCAGAGGTGCCTCGGAGGAGTCTGCGAGATAACACACGGCAATGCTCATTCTTTGGTTTTTTCGGTAAAGTCACGTATAAAAATAAAATAATAAATTAAATAATAGCATACGACGTTTCGATTGCAACACAAGCAATCATCATCAGGTATAATGAAATAGCGACATAGAATATAACCAGAAAACTATAGACAGACATATAAGCAGACAGATATCACCAAGATACATAGAGAGAGCAACCCAGGTACAGAGAGAGGTGATCGTCTCTGTGGGGTGGCCTTAAAACACGTGAAAAAGGCCACCCCACAGAGACGATCACCTCTCTCTGTACCTGGGTTGCTCTCTCTATGTATCTTGGTGATATCTGTCTGCTTATATGTCTGTCTATAGTTTTCTGGTTATATTCTATGTCGCTATTTCATTATACCTGATGATGATTGCTTGTGTTGCAATCGAAACGTCGTATGCTATTATTTAATTTATTATTTTATTTTTTATACGTGACTTTACCGAAAAAACCAAAGAATAATTCCTGCAGTCACGAAAGCTCCAAAATTAAGGCAATGCTCATTTTGATTTCACGACCTGGCAAGACTCGCGATTCGCGCGTACTCAAACCGAGATGCTCGCGGTTGGCAAACAGGTATACAGAAGTAAATCCACGTATATTCAAATCTTGCGATTGGAAAGGGATTACTGTAATGATATTTAAATATTAATTAAAAAAAAAAACTTAAATGTAATAGTTATTAAAAAATGTTTTTTTGGAATAATTGTTTCAATCATTCTTAATATTTTATTTTGATTATGTCCTTTGTCCAAGAAGCCGGAGTATGTATAAATATCAGGAGGGTGCTGTGATAAATTATTTGGCATATCGCTTCTAATTCATTTCATATAGTCAAATGACCTTAACAGCCAACATGGCGTGGGGAGTTCTTCATCCATAATTGGGTGGCAAGGGGTGGAAAACGATAAAGTCAAGTCATGTTTAATCACACAGCAGAATAACGGTTTGGATTTAAGAAAAACCCAAAATGTAGTTCAAATTCAAAATATATAATAGGTGATGTTTCAAGAAATGGCCCTGCTGTATAGCACATAGCTCGTAGTCTGTGCTCTCCTGACCACTCTTATAAACCCAGGATCTGTTCCAGTTGATGTTCAGATAGTGTTATATTGGAAATAGCAGCATCATATCTGTGAAAAACAGGGGGCTTTTTCACGTGTTCCTCAATTTAAACTCGAACTGAATTGCATTTTGTGATTGATTCATACTCTGTCATATAAAGTATGCCCATTTATATGATTGTTGTCTTCCCCCCCCCCCCCCCCGCAATCTATATCCTTCATGTAATTCATACAATGCTTAAACTGTCTTGTAGGTGCACAAGCATACAGCATTAGCAGCCAACTCGCAAGCCCAGCCACCCGTCCATAGTGGATTATCTCGAGCAAAAAGTGAGATCCTCAGAGTCATGGAGATCCTCGTAGAAAAGATGCCAAATGACGTGGCTGATCTTCTGGTGGAGGTACGAATAATCCTTCTATGTGACATTGATGAATGTGATCATTTTCATGTTTTTTTTTATGCAAAAGCATTTACCACGTAACACAATATGTAAACAAAACCGAAAACAAGTCTTTGTTGTTAAATACACCAAAACCTTGCCCATCGCGGGGATGTTTTTTAAAATAGCCATAATCAGAAAATCTGTGATCCGCAAACAGGGATATTGGGAAAAACAGGGTTTGGTTCAGTTGATAATATGAGCACCTCTGATTGTGTATTGTTACCCTACATTAGCCCAAACATGAAATACGGCTCTTTAATGTCAAATATGATTAATATTTTCGATAGTGTTAAATATAACTTGTACTGTATATGTGTAGAATTTTATAAACATGTTGTGTGCGGTATTGCTGCGTGCATGTATATGTAATAATATTCATGAAAATAAAGATTAATGACATATACGGTAAATATTACGCAGTTTAAAAAGGACAAACAAACTTTTACTAACTGTGATTAATGATGATGCGGGTGTATTCTGCCGTGGCTGCATCAGTACGAGCAGAGTGCAGTTCTAATCTCGTGGTCTGCCACAAATGTTTGAACTACAGGAACGTGATCGGCAAACTATACCACAATTTGACATGGTCAGATCCGCGATGGAAAATTCCATGATGGGCACCGTTTGGGTTTACTTTCATACGTCTTCTCATACGTCTTGGCTTTGTTGTAGCTAAATTGTTGTCTTGATATTGAATACGATCCATAATAGAGGTTTTTGGGTTAGATCGTGTAAATATATAAATGTGTCGTTAAAACACGCCACCACCCGACACAGCCAACTAGGAAGGGTTGTCATGTAAACAGAATGTGGCCAATTCGTCACTAGTACAGCACACCGGTGTGTTGGAGAGCCAGCCTGGTCGCGAAAGCCTACGTGTTAAATTGAATGCTATGTTTATTGTTCTACTCCATCCTATAGATCGTGCACATGTTCACTAGCTTCCTTTAAATTAAAAAAAGTGATTGTCTTGCCGATTATCAAGCCGTTGGGACAGTGGCTTAATTGGAAAGTTGCAAGTTCCAACTTGGGGTTGACTCAGCCCTTCAATCAGCCAAGGTCCATAAAATGAACATCACTTTGTCAGGAGTCAACAATAGTTCACCAGAATTTGGGATTTTGCTCCGTTAGCTCAGGAATGTAAACAGGAAGTAAGTTCCACCTGATTCTTGATTGCAAAGGAACCACTTTTTTACTGATTGAATCAGTTTCAGAATCAGAATCTTTATTTAGACTGGAAGAATCCGATGAGCTATGAAGCTCTTTATCACAAATGTCCAGTTTGAAACTCTGAGATGCAATGCCCTGTTCTCAAGGGGGACAATAATTATGATGCCAAATTATTAGTTTGTTAAAATTTTCAAACCAACATGGAGCAATCCACATCTTCATTGGCAGCACTGACTCGCTCATATCGATTACACATTTCTGTGGTGGAGGTCAGTGTTTATCACAAGACCTCTGACTTGTAACAAAATGTACTTGCTTTTAGCATCCTTAGTGGGGTGGGTGCGGTAAAGAATGGTCTGATTCAGCTCGCAAACATAATTTTCATACCAGACTTTTCGATTGCGAAGAATTGATTGCGCACAATTGTATTACTAGTCCTTCCAGTCAGCAGTTATGTTTACTTTATACTGTTTATTGTTTTACACTTGTATACGACAGAACTTGTAAAAGTGAATTTATTTGTTTTTTAGTTAGTCTAATATGATAACAGTTGCCGCGCATTTGTACGGGATACTCGGCCTACTCCAGGGGTCGGGAACCTTTTTGACTGGGAGAGCCATAAAAGCCAAATATTTCTAAATATATTTCATTGAGAGCCATAGTATTTTTAACGTATAATAAATTAAATGTCTTACTTTTAATGCGACTTCTGGTGCTGCATGGTTTTGCTGATGGCCTTGTAGTCTGGTTCATACGTGGTGAGGTTGAGCTTCGTGCAGGCGTGACCCGTGAAATTTATCTTCAAAACTAATTTCTGTTTACTTTAAAATGACACAGTATTATTAAGTAATATCACAAGTATTTTAAAATCAGTTCCAAACTGATTTTTAAAAATTACTTTTTCAACTCAAAATTGTCTGGGAGCCTAATGCCGTCACTGGAAGAGCCATATATGGCTCGCGAGCCATAGGTTCCCGACCGCTGGCCTACTCGGAAGGTGGGGGGTTGCGTGACGTCAGCAGGCACACTGCGTAACGCTGCCGCATGCGGGTGACGTCACAGATGTCACAGATGTGACGTCACCGCTCACTTGCCGTGCAATATATTATGTTCCCTCCCCCCCAAGATACAAAAGTATATTTTATACTTTTTACATTGTGTACAGTATTGAAGCTACCCACATGCCAAATTTAAAGTTTGTAGCTTGTTGGGAAGTATGCTAAACATTTCGAATAGACTCACACACATCCACAAATTTCCCTTTTATATATATAGAAGAAGATTAGTAATTCGCCATGAGCCGAATTGCCGTACCTAATGGTCCAATTTCGGCATACACGTTGAGTGACGCCGCACGCCACGACCAAAACAACGACTCAATTCGTCTAATGGCGAGTGTTAGTGCAGACCCGTTGCTTTCGACTGTACCTTGTTTATACACTCGGTGCAAGCCAACTCTCCCAGAGATGTCATCTACACCTACATCAAGAAGTAATACAAAGGGAGTGAAGTATACATCCCTTGGTCTGTGACACAAATCCAAAGTTTTGTATGGAATTGATACAGGTGTGTCAATGTGTATGATGTGTGAAGAGTTTTGAAAACCAATTTGGATTTTTGTTTTATTGGGGCAGGAGGCACTGGGGAGTACCATTGTACATAATTCGGAATATTGGATAATTCGTCAAAGCCAGAGCCCTATATGTGTCAAATGAAAAGGGGTTTACTGTATTGGAAAACCTCTTCGAACGCGGTTTTATCGAATGTGTGTTTTGGCTCTCCATGGTTTATTTAACGAGGCCTGTTTTCCGGAACACGGAGGTAATGTTTTGGCTGTGCGCTTGTTTTAAATTGCTAAGATTGTTGCCAAGATAGTTATTAGTCTTGCGAGAGGTGAGATTGCTGCATCCGTTGAAAGGTTCGATTTGTCGGGCTGGCAATTCAGTGTCAGGGGAAAGAGTTGGGCGTGAATGCCCCTCAGTGTTTGGGGGATTTTGGTTGAGGTGAAATTAGAAGAGTTTATACAAATAGAGATATATACTCACTATCCTATGTCACGATAGAACGGGTCTAAATAATGTCGAATTATTGAAACAAAGCGGTAGGGGGTAATAAATTCGGACCCAGGAACACAATCCTATTTTTCCCTTGCCTATTACCTGTCGAACGCAGTTTTTCCCAAGGAATGTACCAGCCACGTTCGGGGCGGTTTTCCTGTACTTTGTTTTATAACAGTTATTATTCAAATAAATATTTTATAGTAATATATACAAATTTAGGTAAAGTCCCGTAGATATAAAATAAAATAAATCACGACGTTTCGATCGCAACACAAGCGAATGGCATCAGGTGGAACAGATCCTCCTATGTCAGCAGTTCTCCTGCTGTATCTGTTCCACCTGATGATGGATGCTTGTGTTGCGATCGAAACGTCGTTATTTATTTTATTTTCTACCTACGGGACTTTACCGAAAGAACCAAAGAGTATAGATTCCTGCAGTCACGAAAGCTTCAAATCAAGATATACAAATGTGTGTCCCAGCCACCCTGCTGGTTCACATCAAACATGTGTAAGAATTAATAGATAAGGGCCCAATAACCTGCTAGGCTTCTATATCATTTATGTCCTGTGATGATAGAAATGGTCTTAGTTATGGTCATGGTTTCATAGGTTGCGATACAACCAGCAAGTATTGGTACAATCATTACACGTTACAGAAGTAGGGAACCGGTAAAAATAAATGCTGTACTGTTAGCATTTACCAATTTCCTCATTATATATTTTATATAGATTCTGATTTTGTATTGCCCTTCCTCTGTACTCTGCACCACTGGAAAGTGAGGGACATTGTTTGCTGTATTGGTCTTTGAGATTGTCAAGTTAAGACAATTTTATTTTTGTTTACATAAGTGGCGCCTTTCTGGTACGAATCTGCTCAGTCGGCTTTGGTTCGTGGTCATTCCAGTTTACTTGATTTGAATAAATTGTGTTTCACAGGTCATGGACATCATAATGTATTGTTTGGATGCGTCTACATTAAAGAAGAAGGGCTTGCAGGAGTGTTTTCCATCTATTTGCAAGTATGCGTTTTGCTACATTGTGCATTTGCTGTGACACGGCTGTATTTTCCACAATCACTTTTTAATTTTACTCATTGATATGCTCCTGTTTTTATATCGAGTTGAGTAATCTCCACCTGAAACTAATTAAAGTGTAAATCTTGACTTAAAGCTTTCGTGACTGCAGGAATTAATATTCTTTGGGTCTTTCAAGAAAGCCATGTGGATAGAAAAAAATAATTCACCATGGAGGTGGAATATTATTTTTTCTATCTACGTGGCTTTATCGAAAGACCCAAAGAAAATTAGAGTGTGTTCTAACATCTCCTTCAGGTTTAACATGGTCAGCTACTGCAACACCAGCTACCGCATGGCTGTCGGCGCACGACACGGCTCTGTGGCACTCTACGATATCCGCACGGGAAAGTGCCAGGTGAGATTGCATAGCATTTCATTCGTTAGATTAATGCTGTCATATTTCCACAGATTGTCCGAGATGCACAGGTCCCATTACTCATCAAAACAAAACAAATCCTTTTACAATACACACACAGGGTCACCCATTACAATACCTTAAATATGGATAATATTAATGATTTTTTTTAATAAGATGCTGAAATGCCACAGCATCTCAGTGCCGTATGTCTCATGTCAATCATTTGATAGAAATCCCCCCGTGGCAGCTGTCCGTGTGGCACAAGATGACTCGGCACTGGCTTGCAATTGGCCATTAGTCTGCCAGTAAGGGGCGATGATTGCTGATAACTTTACTCCTAATTGAGTGATTTGCTCCATATGACATGGGGGGTAGATATGGTGTATAGCCCCCCCTGCCTTCTGATTATTTACATGAGTTACTATTTGCTTCTCCCCTTCGGTCTTTATTTTTTAAATCCTTTATATTAAGTTCGCATGCTTGCTTGCGTGCTTGCTTGCTTGCTTACGACCGTGCAAATCTTTCGGTCGTTTTTTAACCCACTTCCCGTGATCCAATCGAGCTGACATTTTCCACACAGACTCGTTGTGCCAGACAATTAATGTTCGTGAAAAAAAATTCCCAAAATTTTACACTTTTTAGGCAAATTTTTTTTATTTTACATATATTCAAATAGAACTCATTCATCGCTTTGGCTGAACGTCACAGTATAAGAGCCCAGAGCGTAACCCCTCCACAGGCCGTGGCGGAGTAGCGCAGTTGGTAGCGCCCTCGTTTCCCATGCCAAAGGTCGCGGGATCGATCCCCGCGTCCTCCACAGGCGAATATATTTTTAAATCCTTTATATTAAGTTCGCTTGCTTGCGTGCTTGCATGCTTGCTTGCTTACGACCGTGCAAATCTTTCGGTCGTTTTTTAACCCACTTCCCGTGATCCAATCGAGCTGACATTTTCCACACAGACTCGTTGTGACAGACAATTAATGTTCGTGAAATTTTTTTTCCAAAATTTTACACTGTTTAGGGAAAACAAATTAAATATTTAATTACCAATTGCTTAATACTGACAGACAATCATCTGACCCATAGGTGGCAGCCATCTCAAGCCAGAGGACGAGAGGACTCTAGCCGCCACGCATATAAAGGATTTATAGTGAAAAACTTTGTTTTTACAGGTTAATTTTTTTACTAATCGTGTTAAATTGCTTCTCAAGTTTCCTATTGTTTTACCTGTATCGCTCGCATTGCCTTCTTTTAAATTATTTTAAAATCGTTTCCTTAACTTTGAAAAAAAATCCAAATTCCCTATCTTCCCAATGTTTTATTGGCATCTATTTTAACGCTAGAGTAAGTGCTATTTTTTGCATATCTCATTAACATATTTTTCTTTCATGCTCAGTTTCACGAAGAGATTGCGGTTTGCATATGCCATGGTAACCATCAATTAGGCTCAATCTACCAGGCTGTTGTGCTGACTACATTTCTCTGCAGCTGCAAGAGCCAGGCACTCCATAAATGAAATCCACATGACACCTAAGAATATAGAAACCTGGTTTTTCATACTCTTTGGTTTTTTCGGTAAAGTCACGTAGGTAAAAAATAAAATAAATGAAAACAACTAAATTAAATCACGACGTTTTGGGCGCAACACAAGCGTCCATCATCAGGTGGGAAGGCATGGCCTCCTGCTGATGTAGACCCTTTAAAACAGTCTACATCAGCAGTAGGCTATGCTTTCCCACAGTGGCGGCTCCTGCAAAATCTCTCAGGGGGGGCAAATGTCTGGATGATTGATAAGGATAAGGTCCACCCATGCAATGGATAAATTAACAGCTTAAGCATGTAAAGGCAACTTCACTTCTTTATTATAAATGAAAAATAAAGTGACTCTTACAATACATCTTGTTTGTTTCTATACTCACTATTAAAATAAACCACTCAAGTTTATTTTATTAAAGATTCCACTAGGTGGCAACAAATTATATTGTTGGATGAAACGTGCTTACGTATGATGACGTAAGCACGTATGATGACGTAAGCACGTTAGGGCGAGCCCTCCCGGAAGCCATAGAGAATGCATTGCAGCGCCCCCGTTCGAAAAAAAACATCTTTGAATGTAAGTCTATGGGGCCACTCGGGGCGATTCTCAGCTGGAGGGAAATCGCCCAAAAAGAGGCGGTACTCCACAGAACGTAGCATGACGCTGATTGGACTATATCCAGAGGCACAGTGACGGCTAGCGTGACTCTGTGGTTGAATGACATTGGTGGTGCGTCGCCCAATCGCCCTAATGAAGAAACCGCCCCTGCTTTCCCACCTTACCTACGTGACTTTACCGAAAAAACCAAAGAATATGAATCCTTGCAGTCACGAAAGCTTCAAATATAGAAACCTGGTTTATCATGTTTAACTGAAATCTTAATTCAAACTCAGGATATCAGCAGGGCATGAATTTTCATCTTTGGGCAAACACTTTTATTTATTTCACCGATTATTGTTTTTCTTGTGGTTGCTAGGTTACAAAATCGTTTAACAGTGCACATCTATTGTTTACAACCATCATGGCCAATACACGCAATACAGTAAATGTTGCACACACTGACTCACTTATCATACACTCACTCATACAACCACTAACTCACTCATCATACGCTGACTCACACATCATACACTCACTCACACTACCACTGACTCACTCACACATCATACACTGGGAGTGTCATGCTGCCAGCTATGGCTGCAAGTTTGGTCGTACATGTATGTATATCGTTTATTGTTACATCTTTAATCACAATTCCTATGATTAATGTTGTTACAATGTTTTTATAGCTTTATTTTGGTGATTCGAAAACATATGGTTAATCTAAATTGTCTTATGGTTGTTATTGTTGACTTGCACCACATTGGGATTTTTGCACACAGCGTTTTAATACGTTTTTTTATATTTGCTCGTTTATTCCAGGATGTTTCTGTTACGCGTCGTCGCTTTAAGATGTTCTGTGTTAATTTTTTGTTTGTTGCGGTTGAACCCGACTCAAGAGCCGCATGGCTCACAGGGCTATACCAAATAAATGGAACTTTAAACTTGAACATTTCAGTTAGTAGATGGAAGGTGATTGGCATTTTGTGTCCATTAGACTGTACCATTCACGAACCTCAACTAAAGTCATTTCCGTCCTTTACACTTTCTTTCAACTTAGATGATTCAGGGTCACAAAGGACCAATCACTGCGCTGGCGTTTGCTCCAGACGGCCGTTACTTGGCAACTTACTCCAGCACCGACAATAGACTGGCCTTCTGGCAGGTAAGGCCACAGGGACAGGAATGATGGGTTTGGGGATAAACAACTTTGGTCAAACTATTTTTGCTTAAAAGTTATTATGTTGAGAAAATAAATTATATCATGTTATATCATTAAATAGGTTTTTTTCTGGCTGGCTGAAGTGTGGGTGGGCGAGCAAGTGCGCAGATGGTTGACATCACTGCACACATTTGCGTGATGATGGCGCCTGTATTCCCACAGTGTTGAGTCGGGTTACTGCGTTGTGCTGACCACTGACGTTACACTTGCCCCCCAAGACGGCCATGTATCCCACGCAAATGCACGGGCAGTGCTAGTTAATTACAAAAACAATGACTTTCATTGTGTTTGATAAAGGCAGTGCTCAAAAAATATCTGTGCAAGAGTACCAAACAATTGCATTTTATAAATACGAGACAACTGGTAATCATAGACCCGCCCATGTGTTCTGTAATGTTTGCATCATTGTGGTGTGTGTCTAGGAAGTTGATAAAAGTGGACTAAACTATCTTAAGCCAAATGAGTCAAGTTTTAAAAGCTACAGGGCAAAATAAAACGAGCATGTCAGTTGCCTAACAATGAAAGTAGTCTTGAAATTGTACTTTAAATATACAAAGGGAAATTCGAATATGACAAAAACATCAGATCAATGGCCGATTTGCAATGTACCCCTAATATAAATAAGAATATTGAACGTATAATTTCTCATGATTGTATTATACTTTTGCAGACTAATATCGTAATGTTTAAATTTTATGTGTGTGTTTGCGTAGATGAACACCTCTCTTCTCGGCAGCTTGGGCATGCTCAACTCGGCACCACAGCTGCGATGTATCAAAGCAATGGAGGTTCCACCCTTGCAGCCAATTTCTCCAGGACCAATGAGTGCGCTCAAGCTGGCTCGCCTCATATGGACCACCAACCGCAACCTCATACTCATGGCCCACGATGGAAAAGAGCACCGCTTCCAAGTGTAACCTTCACTCTCCTTACTGACTTAACAATCTCGTGTCAGGACTGCAGTTGATATAGTTTAGTAGGGGTATTGTACCCTATGCACTGATTCATGTACAATCTCAAAGCATTACAACTTTTGTTGAGAATGCTGCCACAACCATTTTTGTACATTCCAAAATGCAGTGGCTTGTGTTCTTGTCAGATTTTCCCCCTTTTACAGACGAGCTCTGCTTGTTAAGGCTGATTATGGCATTTACACAATGTTAAGACAACACACACTCAAGTGTAGCCACAGGATCGGTGTGTTTGAAAAGTATGTTTTTTGCACAATGTTTCATGGAAAAGGACTAATTTCTCTAAATAAGTTGGTTCTTTTTGTTTAAAATTGGGTAAAAAATGCCTTATCTCCACAACAGAAATTAGAGTCTGTTAAGTTTCTAGAACATTATCAAAAATCCTAATATGCTGGTCGTCTTTGGCTGTGTCCCATTTTTCTTTATTCTTGGTGGTAAAACAGTGCAAGCATTGTGATTACAATGTGCCTCATGTCCCTCTTAAATAACTAATTGGCATACAATGATCTTTTCAGAATAGTTTTTTTTTTATAATTTTAAATGACTTGTAATTTAGTCATTTAGTGATACGAATATTATCAGATTAAAAATGTTTAATTTAAGGTATTATGTTAACTAATAGTGAATGTGCTAAGCTCTGTCAGTTGGCACACAAGTTGATCATTACTGTCCAAATTTAAGTGAATCATTTTTGGCAGATAATTATTAATTGGAATCGAAGCTACATTTATCTCGAAATTCTACACCAAAAATGCCCCTTCATAAAGTAGTTTTACATTTTTTGGTTCTTTTGGCAACAGAGTATTAATATTTGGCACTGGACGAACAGAGAAAAAAATATTGACGTCTAAACATGTAATGGTACCCAAGTTTCAGCAACGGAGTGTTTGGGCCGATGTAATTTGGAGCTTCCCCTGCTATTTCGCAGAAAATGGCTGAAGCTTCGATATTTTTACTGCCAACTTTGCAGTTTTTGTTACGAAAACTCGACTCAATTTCCCATCTAGAAACACATGATGAAGGGGGGTTCTCCGTGTCATGTTAAAAACAGTAGAATAGTTACAGTTTTCAATTGTTTGCATGAAAAAATACCTTTAAAAATAATTTAATGTTTATGTACCTTGCTTAGTTTGTAAAGTTTCCTGCCTTTTGGGTGCTTGTGAAGGTTTAATATTAACTGTCTTTCCTCGAGCATTGCTCGTACAAATTTTCAAAAATATATTTATTATTTCTCTTCATTTTCACATTCTTTCTCAATGTATCACTCCTGGAAGTTATTTTCTCTTGTTGGATACCCATGACAAAAGATTTGAATCTTAAAAAATATATATAGAAAGGTCTTCTCGAAGCTGGGGGGACTTGTTCAGTCTTCATTAAGTTTGTTCTCCCAACCGTTTGCTGTTTGTTTTGTAATACTGGCAAGCTTTAAAGCAGCTTTAAATTTTTGGTGGAGGATTTTAGTCGAGTGTGAATGTAAACATTCCAATAGTTAGGATCATCAATGAATATTTATTTTAAAAAATACATTCGGCGACAGTGACCTTCATGTGTATCGAGCTGAATGCAAATTGTTGCTACCATGTAATTGCATCAGCCCACTGTGTACATTTTCTTCAAACACCCGTTTTCTGCAGTTGGATGTGAATATTTTGTTGGCAATATGCTTTCTTTGCTGCTGCTGCTGTAATGCTACTAAGCACACAGGCACTGGTCTGCTTACAGACTTTTGCCTACTGTAGTGTATGTGATTCATATATACACCACATCATAAAATGTCAAGAAGCTGCATATTGTACAGAGTACAATATACCGGTGTGCTTGCATGCATGCATGTAAGCTGCTACAGTGATGGAATATGTTTTTTGCGTACGATTTATGTCAGTGCTGTAGTGTCACAGTTAGGAGGTTCTGGAAGCCAATTCATTTTACGGTCATGTACTTTTTGGAAGTGTGTTTGTGGGCATAACTGCTTTAACGACAGTTGGTAAATGTCCTTGCCAGTATTTATTCATGCAATTATTGAGGTGTAAGGAGTTCTGTTACACTTTTTGAAGTGTAAAACAATAAAATTACATGAATTACAATAAAGTGATTGAAAGTAATATCACGCAAAGCTTGTTGTACAGGTTTTTTATGGCGTTAATTTCATTTTAATCGTGCTGCCAGCATAACAGAAAAATAAATCCCTGCAGTTCCCTTTGACAAGATGCATGCCACACATGAGAAAAACCTGAATGCTTCATCAGAGACGAGTTGACACCCTTCAAGGACTTCTAGAATTTAGGCTATGCTGTATAAAACCAAGTGATGCTCAGAGCTGGGGAAGACCAACGTCACCATCAGCAGCCATTGTCCACTGTTGGATGAATGCCTCGTCACATCACCATCCCTCATGGTTCAATGCTGCTCCCCTCCATCTCGGTCCGTTACAAGAATTGATCTCAGCTCCATCTACCAAGTGGTCGTCCTCTTAACTGTGTTCTCTCATTTTGTTTCCACTAAATTACCAGTCCCTGTCCATTGGCCACTTTGCAAAGACAATAAGCTGTGATCGTGGCGGAGCTACTTTTAATAATAGGGTTTTTCCCCTTTTTTTCTGGCAAGAAAACTGAAACCTTTTTACAAGGATTCATGTCTGCATTAACCACAATACTTGCAGTCAAAATGCAAACAAAAAACACACTGATAATATATGCATTGTCCTTGAAACTGATTGGTCCACATCAAGGGACGGCTTTCTTTTGAGCCTCCACCCAATTGGTGCTCAACCAGAGGAGGCCAAAAGGCGTACAGCTCAAAGACAATGCACTGTCAAAGTAATGAGGGCTCGGGATGAGCATCTAGGGGAAAAACCCTATTATATTTTGGTACTGGCAAAGTAGGTCTAATGATGGAGCTAATTTTGTTTTAAGTATTGCATTTTCTTAAATGGAATTTTTCTTTGGGGGTGTTTTTGCCAAGGTCAGAATCGGGATATTTGGGTCAAAGTTCACCTTTTTTTTTGGTTGGTGAGGTAGGATCCGTGTAGCAATTTAAATAAGGCGGCGTGGCACTGATCTCATCAATACGCTTCTCTACTCAGGAACGCCTTGGCCAGTCCCATGCTTCATTCAGGGGGATCCTGCAAAAGTTTTGCAGTCGGCAGTGATCATTGCTATGACACTACAGTACATTGTATTTTAATTGATTCCGGGGCTTGCTTTCAAGAGAGTCTTTCCCAGTTACAAAGCAACGTTGGCCCGACATTCCACATACTAGTTTCCGCCTACCGGTATTTGGGATCCGTCGGCCCATTATTAATAGGCGATGCTGATGTATTCTTGAATAGAGCACTGCACAGGTCCTGTGCGAACCAAGGCCGTAGCCATGGAGTCAACATTGGGGGGGACCAAATCTTCCTGGGGGTCCCCCCCGCAGGAAAAAACAATCTAAATTTGAAAATAATTTCCTGCCTAAAATATAATAAATTAACTAACACATAGCATGGACTTTGAATTTATTTTTTACAATAATTTATAATAGTGTATTGTATTAAATTGCTATGTTTTCACTTTTGTTACCTTTTCTTGTTTCATTGTATGTAATGGCAGAGATTAGGGATTAATAAAGTACAATCACAATCATATAAACAGAAATCTTATAGCAATATTTTGGGGGGGACATTCTGAGCATATTTGAATATTAGGGGGGGGGGGTGTGTCCCCCCCCCCCCAATATTGCCCCCCCCCCCCCAATATAATAATTACAGCCTTGGTACGAACCAAGATTGGCGTGAAGAGAGGACACCGCCACATTCTGCCAGCATTGAAGCTGGTGCTGCCGAGCTCTGTGTGCACAATTGATGGTCTGTGGGTCCAGAGCAGGATGCTGCACTTGGGGGCCGTCCATAAATGACGTCACGCGATTTTGGACGATTTTTACCCCCCCCCCCCCAATCGTCACACGGCGTCAAACCCCCCTCAAATATGACGTCACAAAGCTCTGCCCCCCCCCCTCCCCAAAAATAAAACATGCTTCAAATCGCTTTAGGAGAAAACATGTATCAAAAAGTCTATTTAATGAAGTGAAAGGTGTTGTCTATATTTATTTAAAGTTGCGCATTTTGATGGGACGTCACATTTCTCACCCCCCCCCCACGTCATCACACATCGTCACAAATGTCTGACCCCCCCCCCCCCAGGTGCGTGACGTCATTTATGATCGGCCCCTTTACACACAAAACTCAAACAAACTTGTAAACAACACCGCCCCAATAGGAATAACACAAAAGGTAACGTTTCGGCAAATGACCCCTCCCTCCCCCCCATAGCACGCGAATTTTCGTGCTATGAGGACGATGCATTCTGTGCTGTGGGATTGGTGGAGGTCCACATCCCGAAACGTCGCCTGCACCACGAGGCGTGGAAACCCCCCCCACCCCCTCCCCGCGCCCCTCGCTTCCAACCCCCTCAGCCAATGGGAGGCGCTGTTCTAGGTGGGGGGGGGCGTGGCCACGTCAGCTGTTGTGGGCGTCGCCATGGAGACGGCGAGGTGAGAGGGCCGAGGGTGAGGTGAGTGGAGGTGGTGGAGGCGGCGGCGGCGAGAGGTGGACGCGAGGTGGACGCGTGGTGGACGCGGCCGGGGGCTTTGTGATCGTGGAAAGAAGGTCGGAGAGTTGCGTGGGTGCTTGCAATGAAGGTGGAGCCGAGTTGTGGTTTGGTTTGAGAGGGTGGAAGTTTGTGTTAGAGGGTGAATTGTTACCTGGTGGGGGGGGGGGGAGCTGGGTGGACTGTTGGTACCAGCGGTGTCAAGATCGGCCTCTGTGGAGGAGGAGGAGGCTCGTGAAGGACGCTGCTACTGGGTAGTGCCAGGCTAGGTGCACCGTGATGCTGCTGGGCATTTGGAGGCAGTCGCCCTCCAACAACAACGGAGGGGCGACGCTCACAACAACGAGCGGAGCGCCGGGTGGCTAAAGCACAGCAAGTTGGCACAGTAAGGGGGCACAGGTGGTGCATCAGCCAGTCGTCTCGGTCATCTCGGTCAGTCGACCCGTGGCACCTGCTGGGTCTGGCCCCGTGACCTGCCAGCGGGCGTTCGACACTTCACGTGGTAGCCTCAAGGTGCACCTAGAGTGGCACAAGCGTCGTGGTGACGTCACCGCCACTTAGTGTCGAATGGCGGTCGGTGTTGTTGTTAAGTTGAGAGGTGGTCTGGGTGGAGAGAGGGGTAAGGTTGGAGTTGTTGCTTATGCGGAGTTGAGTGAAAGTCATGAGGGTGAGGTGATGGTGGAGTTGTGTGTGGGGTGGTGGAGTTGTGTGTGGGGTGATGGAGCGGGTGTGAGGGTGGAACGTTCATGGTGGAGTTGTGATGATGCCACGGGCAGGGTTAGAGAGGTCACGGTGAAGAGTTGAGGTGAGGTTTTTTTTATTATCCTATTCCGCTGGTTTTCCGAGAAAAGCCTAAATGAGTCTCGTTACGCTTTAAGGAGGGTCCTGTAAGTTTTTCCCAGTAGGGGGCGATGATTTACGATGTAAAACCCACACTAATTTGCGGGTACAGGACTTTGTTTGGACCATGATGTCGGAACACAAAAGCCTCACTCTTTCGAATTTACCTCCCTGGATCTTTAACGTCCACTGTGAAGCAGACGGCGCGTATTTGTTTAATGATAATTTCACGCGCAGTATTAAGGCGGCCGCTATGATCGAACCGTGACCCTGAGCAACAAGCGACCATGTCACAGCTCCTGAGGGTGACGGTGGAGTTGACAGGGTTTTTAGTGGGATCATGATGGTGTGGGGTTGTGGGGTTATAGTGGGATCGTGATGGTGTGGGGTTGAGGGCTGATAGTGGGATCATGATGGTGTGGGGTTGAGGGGTTGGAGTGGGATCGTGATGGTATGGAGTTGAGGGGTTATAGTGGGATCATGATGGTGTGGGGTTGAGGGGTTAGAGTGGGATCATGGTGGTGTGGGGTTGAGGGGTTGGAGTGGGATCGTGATGGTATGGAGTTGAGGGGTTATAGTGGGATCATGATGGTGTGGGGTTGAGGGGTTAGAGTGGGATCATGGTGGTGTGGGGTTGAGGGAGGAGAGTGGGATCGTGATGGTGTGGGGTTGAGGGGTTATAGTGGGATCATGATGGTGTGGGGTTGAGGGGTTAGAGTGGGATCATGGTGGTGTGGGGTTGAGGGAGGGCAGTGGGATCATGATGGTGTGGGGTTGAGGGGTTATAGTGGGATCATGATGGTGTGGGGTTGAGGGGTTAGGGTGAGATCATGGTGGTGTGGGGTTGAGGGAGTAGAGTGGGATCATGATGGTGTGGGGTTGAGGGGTTTTAGTGGAATCGTGATGGTGTGGGATTGAGGGAGGGGAGTGGGATCGTGATGGTGTGGGGTTGAGGGAGGAGAGTGGGGTTGCGATGTGGAGTCGTGAGTGTGGAAAGCTGAGTTTGAACTTGTGAGTTTGGAAGAATGAACGTGGATTTGTGATGGTGGAGTTGATGGGGCGCAGAACTAAACATGGTGTTGCGTGACAGTGATGGTGGAGTTATAATACGTTAACATCGAGAATCACGCCTTTGCTGTCTGTCCTTCGAACTGTTAGCATTGTTCATCTTCTCTGCCTGCTTCTGCCAGTAAGTACATTAGTCATATCCTGTGCCAGTTTAACTCTGCTTTCCTTCATGTGCTTTCTCAACTTCACCTGCATCATACTCTGCTCCTCACGAAGCAACGTCTATTTCACTTCCGTAAGCCATCTCGTATATTTATTCTTGTAATTAGTCATATTTATGGCAAATACATAACCAGATGAAGCATATATTTTAGAGTTCAGAGCAAGTTTTTTAGGCTTATAGAACTGGATTAAGTCGTCCAAGGTAACACTTTTCGAGTGTTGGTTGATCTCTCATTAAAATATAAATCACAGGCTCATAAAAATCTGGTGAACCAGTTTGTCAAATTGTCTATTGCGAACCATGACTTTTGTATATCATCCGTTATTGACACATGTTTTGCAGTCATGTCTGGGCGTAAGAACCAAGGACGTTGTCACCAAAGGGCTTTAGTACATGCCCGTCAAGTAGAAAGTCAACGAGAAGAGCAG